TACGAACCGCTGAAAACACCTATTCACGAGTATCGGAAAGTGCACTGCTCGCGTCGAAATTCACGGCGAGACGTGTCCTGTGAAATTCGCTGCTCTACAAGACAGTTCCAGAGACGTCATTCTCGGCATGGACTTTCTGTGTGAATACGGCTCCGTCATCGACCTTAAAAAAAAACGATTGACGCTGCGGACACCTGTTCTGCCTTCAAAAAAACTCCAAACTGCGTCAGCCACCGTCCGAGTCGCTGCCGACCACGTCAATCTGCCGCCGCGATCAAGTGTTGTCGTACCCGTAGTGACAGATACAGTTACCTCCGGGGAAGTTGTTCTGGAAGGTAACCTTCAATTGCTCCTGGGAAAAGGAATAGGCATCGCAAGAGGAGTAGCTGAACTTCAGGAGGGTTGCACTGTGGTCCTCGTGACGAATTTTCGAGAAGAAACGCAACACCTTACAAAGGCGCAGCTGTGGGCCATGTAGAGGAACTCTGAAACTCCGCCGAAGTCGCCGCGATTACCGAAGAATCATCACCGCCTCAGCAAGACTTTTTGTCGCCAGCGCAGCTCGACATTGCCCCAAGCTTCCCGGCCCAAAACGACGGCAGCTGAGTGATCTCCTCGCCGAATACAGCGACTGCTGTGCGACGTCTTCGAAGGTGCGCGAAACTACCGTTGCGAGGCATCGCATTGTTACCGAGGAAGACCCACTTCCTGTGCATCGATCGCCGTACCAAGTCTCCGTAGAAAAAAAAGGAGGTCATCCAGGAGCAAGTGAAAGAAATGCTGAACGACGACATAATCCAGCCTTCCAGCAGTCCATGGGCTTCTCCGGTCGTACTGGTTAAGAAGGACGGAACGCTTAGGTTTTACGTCGACTACCGACAGCTGAACGCGGTGACGCAGAGAGACGTCTACCCACTTCCCCGCATACACGACACGCTAGATCGGCTGCGCCATTCGATATTTTTCGTCGATGGACCTGAAGAGCGGCTACTGGCAGATCGAAGTCGATGAGCGGGATCGAGAAAAGACAGCTTCCATCACGGCAGACGGACTGTACGAGTTCAAGGTGATGCCTTTTGGACTATGCACGGCGCCAGACTTTCCAGCGTGTCATGAACACAGTACTGGCTCGGCGGAAGTGGCAGAGCTGTCTTGTCTACCTTGACGACGTCGTTGTGTTTTCAAGAAACTTCGACGAGCACTTGTGACGACTCCGAGCTCTTCTCCAGGCCATACAGACCACCGGGCTCACTCTAAAGCCATCGAAGTGTCGGTTCGCCTATGACGCACTGAAGTTCCTAGGCCACGTGGTTAGTAACAAAGGCGTCCGCTCTGATCCCGAGAAGACTCGCGCCGTCACGGCATTTGCAGCACCCACAGACAAGAAGGCCGTGCGAAGATTCCTTCGACTGTGTGCGTACTATCGGCGCTTCGTTCGTGATTGCGCAAGAATTCCGCACCTCTCACAAACCTCACTAAGGATGCCCAAAGTTCGAATGGGCCTAGGAGCAGCAGCAGGCTTTCGACGAGCTGAAATGACGACTCCAGACTCCTCCGGTGCTTGGACACTTCGATCAAGATGCGGAAACCGAGATTCATACGGACGCAAGTAACGCAGGACTTGGCGCGGTACTGGTTCAAGTGCAAAAAGGCACCGAGCGAGTCATCTCCTAGACAAGTCGGACACTGTCCAAAGCGAAGATAAATTACTCCACGACTGAAAAGGAATATCTTGCGGTCGTCTGGGCAACCACGAAGTTTTGCCCGTACTTGTACGCGAGATCGTTCCGCGTTGTCACGGACCACCACTCGCTCTGCTGGCTGGCGAACCTAAAGGACCCTTCAGTACGCCTCGCTCGATGGAGCCTCCGACTGCAGGAGTTTAAGATGACTGTGATCTACAAGTCAGGCCGCAAGCACAGCGACGCTGACTGCCTGTCCAGAGCCCCTGTCAAGACATCTCCCGGTAGCAGCGACGACGATGACGACGAGGCTTCCTAGGCGCAGTGAACACCGACGACATGGCACGACGTCAAAGGGACGATCCTGAGTTGCGCGCGCTAATCGAGCACCTCGAAGGACGAAGGGGTACTATCTGCCATGTTTTCTCGAGAGTCCTGCAGACCTTCGTCCTCCGACAAGGTGTACTTTACAAGGAGAACTTTGAAAAGAACAGCTCGCCATGGCTGCTGTTAATCCCTACTGACCTTAGAGAGTAGATCTTCCAAGCCTGCCACGACGACCCGACGCCCGGACACCTTGGTTACAGCCGTACGCTAGCCCGAATTCGTGAAAGGTATTACTGGCCCAAGCTCCCGAAGACCGTTCACCACTACACACGATCGTGCCACGAGCGCCAGCGACGCAAGAAGCCACCGACGAAGCCGGTAGGTCTATTGCAGCCGATTGCTCTCCCGACAGCACCGTTCCAGCAGATCGGAATGGATCTACTTAGTCCTTTCGCACCATCGCGGCAAGGAAACAAATGGATAATCGTGGCTACAGATTGTCTCACGCGATACGCCGAAATGAAAGCCCTTCTTTCACGGACTGCTGTGGAAGTCGCCAAGTTTTTCATCGAGTCCATCGTCCTCCGGCACGACGCTCCCAAAGTTCTGATCTCCGACCGAGGATTATCAATCATGGCCCAACTGACGCCAGAAATCCTTCGTCTCAGCCACACCAGCCATCGTACCACCACCACTGCGCACCACCCGCAGACCAATGGGCTGACGGAGAGACTCAACAAGGCAATCGCCGACATGATCTCCATGTACGTCGACGTGGAGCGCAAGACATGGGACGAGGCCGTATGTCACATTTGCCTACAACACGGCCGTACAAGAGACCACCGAGGTAAAACCCTTTCATCTGGTGCATGGTCGCAAGGTAACGACAATGCTGGACGCGATGTTACCACACGAACCGGCTGTCGACGGAAGCGGCGACGCCAAGGTAGTTGCCCAACGGGCAGAAGTCCGTCAGCTCGTCAGACTTCGGATTACAGCCCAAGAATGTGTCGACACTGGCCGCTACAACCTTCGTCGTCGGGACATCCACTTCCAGCCCGGAGACAGGGTGCGGGTGTGGACACCGATTCGCCGCCGAGGTCTTAGCGAGAAACTCGAAGCGCTACTTCGGACCCCACAAAGTGCTTCGTTGAATCGGGGATCTGAACTTCGAGGTGATGCCCGACGGAACACAGACTTCATCACGCCGCCCATTTACGACTGGAAGTCATCCACGTCATACGCGTCAAGCCGTACTACGATCCGTAGGACTGTGAATTGTGTTTCGTAACACGCTCGATAGGATTGTGCTGTACAGGTACACGTAGTTCGCCATTATTTTTGTTTGTTTGCTGTTTTGTTTCCCAGCACGTCGCATCGAAACGTTGCGCTTTAAAGAGGGGAGTAATGCCACGTGCGTCGTGCTTGACTGTCGCGCGAACGGTCTAGGTTCAATTCCAGTTAGCGGACAGCATCTTTATTTATTATTTCAACTTGGCGTTCTCGTAAGTTCGAGAACATTCTCGTCTGATCGAGTTCCAAATATTCTACGTGCCGAATGTTCTTAGCTGAATGTTCAAGAGACACACGCGGGTACAAAAGGCGCTCCGCGTGGCGAGCCGGAGTCAGTCTCGCCTCAGCGATCGATCCTGCTGTTACGCCGCTATCGACCCCCGCGGCGCTCAATTGTTTTCTTCTGTTTCCTTCTTGTTTTGACCACAAGTCCGCCTCATCAACGTTTAGTTTGCCTCAGTTTCCGTCGCCCCATCACTTGTCATTCGTGACAATATCATATGACTAGGGCTCCGTGCTTTCGAATAAATCCGATAACGTCTGAAAAGCTCTCCCCGGTAAAAGTTTCGGCAATTCAGATTTATCCGAAAAACTCCGAATGTCAAGGTCAACATGGCTAAATAAAAAGCAACAAAGACGGTCTAGTAGTTCTAAGTAAAAGCCAGTTCAGTTTTTGTTTCTTCATTTTATTTTATCTCGGATTACATACAAAATGAAGTATTCCGTAACGTTTTGTTCGGTACAACCGGTCAATGTACGGCTGGACGCCGACAAAAGCCACTGTTCCAGTTTTCAGTTTGAACGACACTATTCGTGCTCCTTGGAGGAAGAGGGGTTGTGTTTTTTTAACGGTGGAAGGTGAGAACCTGTAGATTTCCTAGGATAGGGAGGGCAGCTCAATGTTTTATGTGTGTTTGGCTATTTTAAAGCAGCGACGTTTATTGAAATAACAAATGTATTCAAGACTTGTCATGGTACAGTTAGTACTGTCAATCGCAAAGGCGCCATGCCATATGCACCTGCTTAAATGTCTTTCGATACCGGTGATTTTTCTTTTTAGTAATTAAGTGCACGTTTTTGTCCTGATATTGTTTTTTCTATTTTGATATATAAGGAGTGAGTAGAATTAATTTCCAAATTTCGGAGAATTGGGAATCTAACAAATTAAACTCTGATAAACCCCGGACTTCCCGAGAAAAATAAACTGAAAAAATAACCTCCGAACTAAAAAAGAACCTCCGGAAACAAGGAATTTTAGATAAAACCCATGGCCCACATAAACAAAACAAAAAAGGCGAGATTTAAGAAGTATAGAAAGGTAAGGAATACTGGGGGCCGAGGAGTTGTGACTTCATTACTTCAGACTCATCGAAGGGAGGGGGGAGGAATGCCGACTGGCACAACATACTGCATAAGACTGGTTTTAGCCTGACCATGACACGTAGAAGCAGGTATGGACTACAATTAAAAAAACAATATGATGTGCAAGCAAATATTACTCAACCGATGTCGCAAGTCCAATGCTGTTGAGATTAATGGCGGTAGGTTTACGCAACTGGTGATCAGACAGAATCGGCTTCCTTCTTTTTTTTCACTGTTCAATGCAAAGCAAGCAAATGGGATTCATGTCCGATATATTACGCTACTCGTTAGGACACAAAGTAATAAGGCTTCCAATTAGTAATAAGCCAAATGTACACATGTTTTGCGCTTTATTACAGTAATCAGATTAAGTTTTATTAGTAAATAAATCCACGTATATTCGCCAGATAATTTTGAAACGTATTTCACAGGCGTATAATAAAATTATAGGCCTTTTGTTTTTCGTTTCAGCGCCAGATTAGCACGATTCTATAAGTGATCCTTGTTCTTTACGGGCGGGTTTTTGCTGTCTACTAAAACAACGTAATTATCACGAGGCTCGCAGATTCCACAGTAGCAAAATCCAATCCTAAATATATCAAGATGTTCATGTCGACGGTAGTGCCACTGGAAGGAAAAGATATTATTGCGAAATCAACGCCCATATCAAATAAAGCAAGCATTTAACATACGTGCTTACGCTAAGTAATAATATAATTAAAAGCAAGCATTTGACGGAAATAAGCAAATGCGGAGAGCAAGCCGTCTGGTTTTTGGGTGGGGTGACGTCAGAACGACGCCGAGCTCTGATTGGCTTTGATTGAAAGGATAGTGGGTAGACCTAAATGCTAAAGGTCTACCCATTATTTTGTTTCTATCAGCCAATAAGACCTCGTCGTTCTGACATCTTCGCAACCCCTGTGCAAGAAGCAGACGAACTTGCACTTTACATGAGGTTCACAGAACGCACAGACAAGTGGGCGCACAAAGATGGGAGCCAAAATTTTCAAAGCCGAATAGTGCAGATCATGACTTGGAGCTAGCGATAAAACACGATAAATGAGTGCAAAACAAAAGGTGTATGAAAAAATAACGTGAGCCACATTTAAGTATGCCCCAGACGCAAAAGCCATTAAGACAAACGCGCTTTTTAATTTCTATCGGTGCAAAATTATTTAGGACTGCACCTAATTTGTCTTTTTTTTATCATCTTTTTAAGTTAGTACAGACTATATCTATGGTGCCTGGAACGCGTTTCCGACTGGTGTGTTTACCGTGTCCAAAAGAATGGTCCTTCGATTCCCGCCTGATGACGTCATACAACTGTCACGCTGTCGCCGGCCGCGATCCTGGCGGTGTCACGGCAGCGGGGGAAGAAGTGGCAGACGTCTATTCTGCTGCGGGTCACTCTTCTGCTTGACCGTCTACGGAAGCTTGGCAGTCAGGAGGTTGAACGCCAAAATGACAGCGACACTCGCGTTTCCTCGTGCTCTTGACAAGAACTTCTACGCCCAACCGCCAGGATCACGACATCCGACATGGCATTCCGGCATTGGTGATGTCACCTGTTGCCACTTCGGCGCCACTTTCGTTGCATGCAGTGATTTCCCTACACACCCCCTTTGTTTTTCTGAAGGCACCCCCTTAATTCGCAACGACTCCTCTATTCCCAATGCCCCCCCCCCCCCCCCCCCCTGAAAAATTTAGACCCCCCCCCCCCCTCATTTTATTTCCTGGGGAAACCCCTGGTTGCATGGGCGGAAGAGGAGGCTAAACAGAGCAGTCAGAGACGCGTTACAAGCACCGTAATATAGTCCTTTTCAAAAAGGGATACTGGCCGGTTCTATTTTTAATGTTCGTGCTCATGGCGCATTATTTGTTCGCTTTGCAAAGCGACGAACATGCGCGTGTTCGGCTGGGGAGATCGCACGCTGAGCCGATGACTTATAAATATTTAGATTATATATAACTGTGCGAATACACCGCGGGGTTTATATATTTTTTTTTTTGCTATCAGAAATTGTGTTATCAAATACAAATTGTTGTTACAATAATAACATTTGGGCTTAAATTGGTTCTTCACTGAGTGAAAGGAAGATTACGCGTTGCGTTCCCTAAACAGTGGCACGAAGGGATTCCTATATATAGAATATTAGGAGATAATGAAAATAGTAACTAGCCGTAAAAATGTGCATACAGAATAGTAGTACGTATAGCCTCTCTTAAGCCCTGGCAAAAAGTAACCCTATACTATTTTCTTCTATACTGCCATTGTAGATACCGTACTGCAAGCCACACTAATGTGTGAAACGCACTGGGCAGAAACAAGAACAGACTATGAAATAGTAATAAAATAGATTATATAGAGTGAGGAGATTTGTCTGTGCTGAGCAAGTCATATCATCAAATCATAGTTACTGACAGATTGAGAACGGCAGGGCGTGTCTTTCGAACACACGACCTCCAGCTCACGCTCCGTGCCCTCCCCTGTGCTTTGGCCGTGAACGCGCTCTCGAGATGCACGAGATGCTGAAGCATTGTCGAAGGTAGGAAGCTCGTGCTGGAAGCTTAAATACTGAAGGACTTTTTTGCTGTTCTCACCTTGACTGCGACTTTAGTACATATAAGGAGTTACACGATTGGTCATCACAAAGTATATTCCAAAAATCGTAGTGAAACGAAACGCGCCACTCAAACTCTTCTAGTGGGGTGAATTCTTAGGAGAATGCACTCGCGCGAAAAATCGGACGTCGATTAAGCGAAACCAATATTTTTAACGTGTTTTGAATAGATGTTTTGTATATGAACTCAGTATACTTACGAGGCAAAGAATATCATCTGCTCTGCGCTCAGACGTGCCGTCGCTGCATTCCGCTTGGCAGTGTGACGCTACTGTCAGCTAAAAAAGCCAAAAAGAGCACGCACAATACTTCACGTAACGGGCCCATAAATTTGAAAGCTGTTCATATTTTGTTGACTTCTAATTCATTATCCTGGCCACAAAACAAATTAAATGTATAAAACGAAAGTGTGCAGGCGAGCTGGTTAAGAAACTTTTTAATCTAAATTCTGAGACAAGAAGGAAATAAAATAAGGAACAAGACGTCTTGTTCCTTATTTTATTTTCCCTGTGTTTCAAGGCTTAGTCTGAGAAAGTAAATTTGACAGCATTCAAAATTTGTTCATACACGTGAACAAGAAACGTAAAGTTCTAAGGCCTGGGCAAAAACGCTGGATTAATGTAATTACCTAAAATATTTTTATTGCAGCGTAGTCTTTTATGCCTAATATATACTAATCTATGCAATAGTCCGTTGCAACTCAAGAAGGTAGGGAGAGGGAAAGGAAGACCGGGGAGGAGGAAGTAGACAGAACGCTGGAGAGGAGAGGCGCAAACCTTCTCCTCTCTTTAGCGTTTCGTCTGCTTCCTCCTCCCTGGCCTTCCTTTCCTTCGCCCTACCTTCTTGAGTTGCAACGGAGTACAGTATAGACAAGCGCCCTGATTGGCACAAACTGTTTATTTCTTCTTTGTGAGACCTTTGAGCCAGAGATCAATAGTTTACTTGGAATGGGGAGCGTGTTGGTAAAGGTAAAATAAATAAAGGGCCGAACATAAACGACAATCACGGACAAGACGTTTCCCAACTGGCAGCAAACGCTTATTGACCACTTCGACGACTCCGTCGGGACGGGGTCTTTTCTCCCAAGGGAGGGAGAAAAGGGCGCGTTATGAGGGAAAGAGGAAAGAAGGGAAGACCCGAAATAGCATAGATGGCAAAAGGGCGGAACGGAAAGGTCCTAAGGAACTGGTGAAAAAGACAGAGGGACGTCAAGGATGATTTTCAGGTCGAAGAAAGGCAAGGTCGGCCGCGGAGAGGGTTAGGGAGGGGGAACCGATGTCTGTAGGGCTGTGACTCATTTTGAAGGCCTCCAACATTTCCCGTCCGTACCTCGACCTGTGCGAAGCTAGTAAGGATGTGGCGTAAAAGTCTGGAGTACACCATGCACAAGTCGCGACGTGTTCGGCAATAGGATGATAACTCGAGACAAAGGGATTGAGTGCGGCGTTTTTTACCTCCCTGGCATTCTCCCGAACTCTGTCGTTGGCACATCGGCCGGACTGGACGATGTGTCAACCCCTAAAAGCCTGCCCCAAAAAACATGCCACAGTATATATCCAATGCAAACAACAGTGTGTTTAGTCCATCCCCCTCAGCTGCGGCTCCCTATAGACCAACTCATGCTTACAAACAGACTGGAGCGCCCCTAGCGGATGCCACCGGCGCCGCGCATGCGCGATGGAGTGTGGGCAAGTAGCTTGCCGTCGCCGGTAAAAAGACCATTGGAAAACGATGTTGTCGGCGTCGGTGTGAGTCCCCGCGCTCTTTTTCGAGTTGGAATTGTTAATGGCACTTCTTCCTGGCAATGTCTCGTTACTTTAGCGGCCTTAGCGAAATGAACGAGGCTCCTAACACCGCAAAACGTCACGTGAATAATGGGACATGCGGCGATTCCTTCCGCGTGGACGCCGCAGAATGGGCGCTCAAGCCTGACTCGCATGATGAGATTCTGCTCACTATTTTCAGTAGCAACGTCGCTCGGGCTGCAAAGGGGTGGACCGTAGCTGAGATGGCCAACGTCAATACTGAAAATCGCAAGCAGAACCGGACCATGCTATTCGGGCATAACAAACGAGTTGGTGATGGCCACTGGTAGCAATGATATCCCTACCCCGCTTCAAACTTGGGTCTTTTGAGGCCTACACTTATCTTCTTATAGCAAATACAGGGTGAACATTTGATCTACGGTCCGCTATTCTTTGAACGAGCAGACGACAAAAAGCAGACAAGTTTGAAACAGCAGACGACAGTTCGAGCGACCAGGCAGCCGTTTGAACTCTGACGCACTGAACGCAGTCCGCAGGTGGTCCGTACAACTTGGCGGTTTTCCCACGTTCATTTTGGAACAAAAGAAAAAAAATCTAACGACCACAAGTATCTGTGAGTTCAACCGAAAGTGTTTCCCGCACAAGCAATCGTAGTTCGACAGCGTCTGGTTTGCCCTTTTCACAACTACTATCCACGTTCTCGGAGGAACGGAGGAGACCAAAAATACATAAAAACGAATACTCAAACCTTTCCCGAGCCTTCTGGTACAGCCCCGTCGCGGCGTTTTGACCAGAAGACAGGTTTTTGTCTAGTTTCATCAAAAACAACACAGGAATGCATGTCTCGCACGGTGACTTCCCCCACCGCCCCAGACCGGAAGTGTGCCCGACACGCCACCACCGCGGAGTGATGTGACAGAGTTGAGTTCGTGTAGGCATCGGCCAGTCCGGCCGATGTGCCATCGACAATGTTCGGAGCATGCCAATGAGGTAAAAACGTCGCCCTCAATCCCTCTATTCCGAGCTGCCATACCAATGCCGAGCACGTCGCCACTTGTGTATCGTGTACCCTCGATGTTAAGGCCAGATCGGAGTTAGCTTCGCATAGATCAAGGTACAGAGGGAAACTTTTGAAAGCCTTCAAAATACGCCACAGCCCTAGAAACATCGGTTCCCCCTCGATAGCCCTATCCGAGGCCGACCTTGCCTTTCTTCGACCGGAACTTCAGCCTTGACATCTCTCTTTCTCCTTCACCCGTTCGTTGGGACGCTTTCGTTCCCCCTTTCGCTATTCATGTTATTTAGGTTCCTTCCCTCTTTCCCCTTTCCCTGTAAACGCGCCTGTCTTCCCCTTCCCTCGGGAGAAAAAACCCCGTCTCATCGGAGACGTCAGAGTGGTCATTAAACGTTTGCTGACAGTTGGGAAACATTTTGTCCGTCCTTGTCTTTCATGTACTTTCCTTTATTTATTTTGTCAGTAGTTTCAATGACAATTTGTTTTGTGCCGCACATAGCGACTGCACTTTGCATTAAAACGTTAAATTTACTAAATTAGTTTAATTGTTTTGCTATTTTGTACATCACATTTGAACACCTCAAATTGAGACCAAAATAAAATGAATATATACTTAAACAGAAGCCAATAAGGGTAAAGTATTACGTTTTCATTGATGAAAACATCCGTTCCGTTGCATCCTTTGGTTGTATTGTGAATAGGAACTTTGTACCCATCTGAAAAGTAAAAATTAAAAATAGAACACGGCATTTTAAAAAATTTTAAGTGCAATGTTTTATCGTGCACAAATCTGAGAAGTCACAACACCATCTGAAAGCAACCTAAAGGCCGGTTCGGACATTTCTGTTGTGTGCGTTCCCCCAAACTGCTACCCCTCAAAAGTTGGTGGAGCAGCTGCTCCGGTAACTTTATTTGCATGCCACTAATAACTGAACGAGAGGCGCAGGAATATATAAGGTGTCCCAAGTCACCAGGCTTGATATAAAATGGACCGTAAAAATCGAGGCCTGCACGTAGCAATCTAAACTTTTCGTCAAAGGTGTATTTCACGCGGCGGTTTCTTTTTGTAAAGTTACAAAGCGTAGCTTACTTTTATTAAAACGTAAGGCCAAAAAATTTAACAGTGTCAGCGGCGAACGGCCACGCAGATGACCGAGTTGAGTTGCGGGGTGCGTTTGGCGCGCGTATTGATAGATCGCGTAGGGAGCAGCGTCCGAAGGTGTAGCCGACCAGCGAAAGAAAGAAGACGACACGTTGACGAAATCCGTTGGCAGCGAAAGCGCCGTCGATCTGCAAACATGATTTTTTTCCTATAAGTTTTGCTTTTATTGCCTGCATTTATTTTTTACCTTAGCTAAATTACAAAAAAGAATGGTAATTTTAATAAACCACCATGGTCGCGAGCAGTCTCGATCAGGGTTCCTCTATAGGCTCCCTACGGGAGCCAGAGTTGCGCGTCTGTTTTCCACAGGCCGCCGCGCCACTTTTCGCCGAGATCCGATCACCTGAGGAGCGGGATCAAATGCCGTGCAGGAAAGTAGACGTTGCACGCGTCCCAGCATACGTTCCCCTGCTTTTAAGGGCGCCACGCGCCTCGAACGCGCGGCGCCGCTATTCGCGGAATTCAGTCACCGGAAGAGCAGGATCACCATGCTCTGCAGGAAAAACGGCGCTACGGTGATGAACGCGCAGTTCTGGCTCCCGTAGTGAGCTTATAAAGAAACCCTAACCTCGATAAGAAAGTAGCGTCATCTATCAATACGAGCGCCAAACCCGTCCCGCTACTCGACTTCGTCGTCTGCGTCACCGCCCGCTGTTGACCCTGGCAAGTTTCTTGGCCTTATTTTCTTTACAGAAAGAGAGCTACGCTTTGTCATCTTACAAGAAAACACCGACCTGTGAAATACACCTTTGACGAAATGTTTAGATTGCTACATGCAAGTGTCGATTTTTGCGGGTTCATGATAAATCCAACCTGATGACTTGGGACACGCAATATATTATATACATATATACGTATTGCAACGTCCCAAGAAACACTTAATGTTTTATTTCGATTTTTTTTTTTGCGCCGAAAAGTGGTGATCAAAACTACTAGGGTGTTAAAATAAGCTAATGTGGAGAAACCACATAAGCCATAAACTTGTTTACGATAAAAATCTTTATGAGCAGCATGGGAGAAAAAGTGATATGACGCCGTCCTTGCGTCTTTTTAACCTGAGAACGATCAGGTGAGGCAGCGTAGCCTTTGCGGACGTGCATTTTACTGTCAGTAACACAAAAGAAGCGCGTGGCTATTACGGCGATCACCGGTTCTTGGTTTGTAGTTTAACTAAAGAAAACATTGGTTGAATAACATGCGGCGCGATGCGTTTTGACAGCGGCAGCTGTGCTCCCCGTTTGAAGATATGACGATGACGATCGCAATATCATCGCCAATTTTTTCCGCCAAATTCATCGGGAAACTGAATTGGTGCATAGGTCATGTGACGCAAGTTGCTCCGCTAAATTTAGCTAGGACCCTGATATTGTCTGTAGGTCCCATTAGGTCATGTCATGTGACAGCAATTTTCCAACCAAAGTTAGCGGAGAAACTGGTTTGGTGCATAAGTCACGTGACAACAATTCTTACGCTTAGTTTAGAGGGGAAACCAAATTGCTGCATAGGTAAAGCGACGTCGCTTTTTCTGCTAAATTTAGCGGGAAACCAGAATTTGTCTGTAGGTCACGTTATGTCAGGTCACGTGAATTCAATTTCCCCTCTAAAGTTAGCGGGGAAATTGAATTGGTGCATAAGTCACATGACGCCAATTTTTATGCAAAATTTAGCCGGACAATGAATTCGTTCAGGCTCACGGCGTCCCAAAACCTATGGCACGGATGCATAACAGCTGCAGATGTAAAACAACCTACATATCCGAACCATGTCCAAAATTTCTGGATATGTCCATCCAACAAATCTTTTGATATATTTAGAAGTTCTCTAAGGATCCTTCTTTGATCACATAAATGCTTGAGACTTCTTCACAGTAGTAAATATTTGTCAGGTTTTTTAATCAGCTCAAATTCCCAAACTGTTCTCGGATACATACTTGTATGAGACGTCATTCTTTGAATTTTTTCTATTGTTGTGGCACACATCTCTAACAATACAAAGGAAGCTGTTTGACATAAGTGGGGCATAAATTAAAGCAGTAACGCTATAATAATGCAATTTTGGTGTTCTATATTTACCTATATACAAAATTACTAAAATAATTTAGTAGGAATTACTCCGTTCTCTAAAACACTTGATATGACTTCATAGGTTGATACACGTACTATCGTGGACACTGTTAGCTATAACACGGCAGCGGCGGCCGTCCCGTACCCCCAGCGCCTCATAGTAGGCGCCGTCCGAAACCCCGCGCATGCGCCGTGTGGCGGACTCGGTCTTCCCGCCTGCGAGCACACCCTCGCTTTGTCGCCTGCTAGGCACAGAGCAGACGACGCCACAGCGCTTGCCAGTTTTCCCTGAACACGGTTCAGCAAACCACGGCGTAAGAGGTGTCCACGGTTGATTCCCTGACTCCGCTGCCTAAGGATGATCATTGCCACTAATTGTAATATCACAATAGATTACTTTTTTTTCTTTTTTATGGGACAAACTTCCAGTTATACTCCGTTTCACTTTAGGTCTAGGCGCAGCGGACGCTACGAGACGATAGGGCCAACCAAAAGCGACAAAAGCTCACTTTTTGCACTTTATTGTGTCCCCCGGTGATGCACTCCGTGACATTGCACCTTTGTCGCTATTTGATTGGCTATATCGTTTTGTAACGCACGCTGCATTCGGACTTCAGGTGAAACGGAGTATAAGTCTATTTCTGTATCACACCTGCTGCGCTCATACTGGTTTGCGAGCGCATGTTGTGAAAGATACATTGCGAAATCCTGTTTCTAAAAAAGCAAAAAAAAAAAAAGCGTAGACAGCTTTAATGCCTCAATGACTCTGCAATCTCCCCCAATCAAAATCGCCGGTTTAAAATGAGTTTGAGACCAGTTCGCTAGGGCCAGGGTACCAGGCGAGCAGCACTGTGGCATCGCCTGCTCTGCGCCTAGCAGACGACAAAGCGAGAGTGTGCTCGCAAACGGGAAGAGCGAGAACGCCACACGGCGCATGCGCGGAGTTTCGGACGGCGCCTGCAATGAGGCGCTGGGGGTACGGGACGGCCGCCGCTGCGGTGTTATAGCTAACAGTGTCCACGATAGTACAAGAATAATAGACATTTATACGTAGGATAATGTAGTTGATCTCAAACTTGCAGATCTCTAACCTCTATTATTTTCTCTGGAGACTCAGTGATTTGCAAATCATATTTTATGTAGTAAAATTACTATTTTGATTGTGGGGTAGCTGCACTGGTAATAAACTTCAGTACTTGGCGTGCTGCAATATGCCTTCTACATAGCAGGTTAAAAGTATAGCTAAAAAACGGGAGGAACTCTTGAAATGGTATCACGGGTGAAAATATTTCATACATTTCAGTTTTATTCATACCTAAATAACTTTATTTAGCCACAAAAAAAATGTATGCTAATACTTGCCTCGTTTAACACACTTCCCCGAATCGCAGATACCTATTTCTTCCACAATCGTCGTAGGTTTTGTCCCAAACAAGGACCCGAACGTGAATCCCGAAGTTGAAGTTCGCAGCTATAGAGGAAATTATAGCCTTTTAAATTATAACTCGATAGTATTGCGTTTTATCACTATCATCAAATTGTCAGTGATCTATTCTAATTATTTGGATGTATGCCTCATGTTTATGTTACGGGACACAATAGATCATTTCTCAAAGTCAATCGAGCAATACTGGCGACCGACACAATTTAAGCATGCCTTCCTGCGCGAAGCGTGTCACTGGATCCGAGCTCATGCCGAGTGCTGAATCGGCACTCGTGTGCTATACTTATGGTCCCGACTACTTGCCGAACGTTTACACAGGACTCGCGTCCAATGCATACTTAATTTGCGTGTCGAAAATATGGCAGCCTCAGATAATCGAAGTGAACCTAGTGGAGAACGCGCACTTTGGAGAGGATTCTATTTTGGTAGGCAACATACAAGGTCAGGCGACTATTTATTCAAGACGTCATGAAAATATATTTATTTCTTCGAGTGCAGCAGTTACATTGGTACATTCATGCTCAATTGTTTTTTGAGATAATACTGCGTGAATAATTTATTGTTTGTGTTTGAAAATTACGCTGCTGGCGTCACGGAGCAATCTTGATCGTCGCTAAAGTACTGAAGCATCAAGAAGAAAAAAAAAACTGGCGAGCAAAGTATGCTTGTGTATTTAATTTGGTGAATGAGCTCACCCGGCGAAGCCTAAAGTTTTTAACGATGTAAGGAATAGTTCACCCTGGTGTTAGCTTACAATTAAAATGTAGGTTAATAAAATTGTGTTCATGCGTTTAGCAAAAGCATGCCACTTGTTCCGATATGCGTCGCTCCTTCATTTGCATTTCGCTGTCGGCAGACAGCGAAATGCAGGTCCTATAATCTGTACACCCCGCGGACAATATAGGTTGAAACACCCGGTCCGGCCTTTTTCTGCCTCTTCACGGCCAGTTCTATTTTCTCTCATTTTGTAGAATAGTCCGAAGTATGGGACTTCAACTTCGCATTCTATTCCTAGATTGGGCCATAGCTGCCTCAAAAACTGGCAGGTACACCACAGACGCATGAAGAACTTCTTCAGCTGATATTGTCCGCAATAGCACATATGTTACTTCTGAATGCATTATGTCAAGTGTTTATATCGTGGTTATACTTCAGAGGTACTAGCTTCGTTCAATTTGACTGAACGATACGCTAAATATGCTAACATAGCTAGCGTAGCTCCTTAATTTTATCGTTCGTAAAGAAGGAAATTTAAAATAACTTGCATTCAATAAAAATAAAACAAAACCGTGAAAGGGCATTTTCCTTATTTTTTGATGGACAAATAATTTTTCGGCGAAAAAACAACTAATCCCCGGAAAAAGTATATTCACTTTTGTGGGAAATCAGTGTTTAACTGCGGACAGGGCATACGACGTGGCTGTAAATGTAGGCCCTAGTGTGCTAGCACGCTTTCCCTAAACAATTAATGTAAACAAGTTGCGCGCTCAATATTACTTGCTTAGTTATAATTATAGTATTTTTCTCTCCCGACTAAATTGCCTTTAAAGATATTTAGAAGTTTCTTAGTACTAAGTATGATCATTATTCATAGAATTCTGCAAATAACTATAACTATCATCTCAATATCCGGCACGAGTGAGTCCAACATTTTACGTTTGTTATCAATTCTATTAGATACTGTAAGGCAGGTCTGGGCAGTATCACGATAAAAATGTATTGCGATAGAATTGTAGATATACTTTCGAGTATCTGCATCTCTGTATCGAGATACATTTGAAAAATGTATTTGTACCTCAGTAGTGAAATATATTTACAACGCATCGCTTGTATCGCGATATTTTGCTAGACTTAGGTATCTCGTTACTTTTGTTGCCATTTTTAAGATAAATGTAAAGGATAAAAACATCTGTTTGGTGCAAATTGCTGCGAAATTTATAATATGAGCCCGCCCTATAACATGATTCATCTCAATCACCAACATTTAAAATAAAAAGGTGTGATTTAAAGAAGGTTACGTGCAAAATAACAAAATCAGCTCCTCTCGCAAAGAGCTCCACTTTTTCCAGTTTAGCAGAGCGAACGCTGTAAAGGAGATGATTGGATAAAACGTACGGCCCTGTTGCCTAATCTTTTCCGACTATGGGCGACTCCGAGCATATAAGCCGACAATTTAGATTCACTTTCACGGCGAAACAGGGTTCATTGTGGGCAGACGGCTTTTGTCAAGCATGGCACGCAATCATTACAATTCTGTAACTATGTGGTTCAACGGAAGTGACTTTTTTTTTTCGGCAATAATGATAAATAAAGAGTGCGAGGTAAGGGGTGGCGCATAAATTGGCACAAGAAAGGAGCACAAGCATACACTACCACTCGCATACGCCACGAACTACAACTCCCCACGTAGCGCCTTTCGGGAACTAATATATTTCTATAAGTATCTCTCTCTGTATACCGGGATACTGTTTCGTCGTTTCTGGAGAAGTATCTCAGAAATATCCCGTTGCATAAAAGGCAAATGTATCCCAGTATCTGAATTTGGGCTTAAAACACATGTATCTCAATATTTCTATTCCCGAATAATGTTAGGAGTATATCTGCCCAGCCCTGCTTTAAGGCGACAAGAGGTCAAAAGTTATTCTACTTCAATTTTATTGGTCATGACGTGATTCGCTGAAACTCATTGTTTCAGGGTTTAGATTATGGTGTAGTCCCAAGAGCTCTGTGCTTCAGTCTGGTGCAATCTGGCTGGCGGGATCTAAAATTCAGCTAATGGGTTTTTAGGGAGCTCGTGGAGGCCGCGGAGCGATGCGGACCGGGCGCACAAGTGTGGAGCCAGCTGAACCAACATAGCGAGGACGGCAACGAAAAATCCCGCCTGAGGAAGAGCTGAAACTTTGTGTGACACAAAAAAGTGGTTTGCACCGGTAAAAGGGTAGTGGTCGAAATATCTGCTTGCGAAGTACCTTTGTGCTGCATCGTCTTCTATAATTAATTTTTCAAGATTGGGGATGCATCGTACTGTAAAGTACATAGTCAGTCCAAGCAGCCACCTGGAGCCCTGATCTGCATGATGGGAACAAGCGGGACAATGTAACCTGGACATTGCCGCCTACTGTGATTCGCTTGCGGTGCGGAGCTGACCAATCGCAGCAGGCGGCGATATTCAGGTCCATTGGTCCTGCTTTGTCCCGCCAAGTACACTTGAGCCCCTGAATGTGCTTCAATCCACATTTATAGGTGAGCGTCTCCTGTTCGCCTAACAAAATCGCACACTTAGGATAGGAATTAATTTATCTATCTGAACGATGTTCTCAACTTTACGACATAGTTGGCACACGTCTTGAATCGAAAAAGTTGTTGAAGGACCTCGAAGCAGAGTGTTGAGTGTTCTACGCACCTGAAGGCCGAATACTTCTATTGGAAACTTCCAGAACTTTGGTGACATATCACAAATTTTGCATTAAAAAAGGCAATTGAAAGAACAGCTTCAAACGTTTGGCTATTCGCAATCCACAACTTTTACCTGTACGCCCAGTAACAACGTTATTCAACCACTTATGACTATCTGAACAGATAACAATGTGGGACCATATTTTAACTTGTTCTTCCCATGGTAGATACGATCAATACCTCTGAATAAATTAAAACCGGAATGCACTGCTCAGAACGAAAATGGGTTGATTCAATGATGTGAGCTGACCTTTTGCAAGTCAGATCAAAGAAAGGAAAGCCTGGAACATCACAAAGTTTTGATTTTGCTGCATTCAAAGTATCTGATGTATAGTCGTGGATTTACTTCATGTACTTTTTTACGAGTTTGTATAATGATCGGTTTATATTTTTTTAATTCTCACCGGGACTTTTGTATTCCTGTTATAAATAATCCTAGAATTTTCTGACAATGGGCATGAACATTGTAGATCGAGACACAGGATACTCGCAGTGATTTGGACAGCACTTCCAGTCGCAAGTCGGAAAATAATATTTTGTGGACAACAGCGTCGCAATGACGTTGGGCGCCGCTTTTTGTGATTTTGATTTAAATGTTACTGAATTTCTGCGAGAATAGGAATAAAATAAATCGACACGAAATACAAGGGGACAAGGTAAGTCCCCTGAACGTTGATACTCGCCGACGCTATGTGAAAGGGGATTTTATTTGCTTAACTGTTTGATCTCAGCGAAACGTGAAAAATGCGACAAACTGTTTTGTATAGTCTTAACACTCGTTTCTTTTTTCTCTCGTGTTTGTCAACCGTTACAAACAAGGTCTCTTTGCTTATGGCCGTCGGCAAGTACAAGATGAGAGAACCAAATGTTGACACCACACGTAATCCTCTACCTTTCTTCACGTCAGCTTCGTCGTACACGCACGTAGAACTTCCCTTAGCCATCCATTTGACAGGACGCACTGGAAAACGTTACTTGTCAAAACAAACATTTCGGACATCATTAGCGTTTACGACAGGCTGTCGCTAAAAAGGAGATTAGGGTTGTCTTGAATATGCTAATTCATGCTCTCATGCTAGCCCCGTATGTAAACCCAATGTGTGTGTGTTTTTCTTCCGCATATATGGAGATGCATCGTCCTCTAAACCATGGTCCCAATCAGGCTTTCACTATTCTAGTGAAGCTCAGCATTTGTTCTGTGAACAGTTATTCCGGTATTGAAGAAATCAATGCGCAAGGTTCAATGCGTTCAGCAAAACAAATTAACTCATTATTACTCGAGTTTCTTTTTTTTAATATATTTCTAACTCTTGAATATTTAAAAATATACTTTAAACTGCATAAATAGAGAAAACATCGTGCGGTAAAGAACAAATATCTTTCCATACTTCCTCAATTCTTTTATGAAGCAGCTTTTCATAAACATCTATCAGGAAGGCATAGACACGTCATGTTACCCAAGTAAAATTGTGCTGAATAAATATTTTAACTAAGAAAAACCTAAACAATTCTTACCGCACACATTGTTCCGTTATTCAGCTGTTTCTTTAAACTGGCATTGCAAGTGACGGTGCACTCTTTATTGACGCTGAACTAAATATATCATGATGGGGGAAAAGAAATACAAGTAATATTAAAATTGTTGTAATACACCAGAACATGTGAAAGTAATCAAGTGATTATCTGTCCCAAACTAAACTAAATATGCAGTGGGATGGTTTTGAGGTACCGTATTCAATTGCTTGATTTCTTTAAATTTCATTTTATTTTAGCTCTAAGCATACTTTCAACTTCCAAATAGATAACACGTCACGATTCGTAAATATTTTCTCCCAAAACATTTTGTTACGACTAGTACGCACATGTTCAATATAGTTTTAAGTCCCATTGGAAAATAGAATGCACACACCATGTGAATGATGAATACTGTGCTATTTTACAGTGATACTAAAAATGACAAAATCATGCTCTAATCGTACCACATTTTCATTCGTAGCATACTGTTAATTGTTTTAAACAAATCGAATTAACTATCACGTTCCCCAATCGTCTATAAACAATGCCAACGGCCGTCACTTTTATGCCGATTAACAAGAATGCGTAATTTTGTAAGCCAATAAGACCCGTGTCATGATCGAGTGATATAATTTATATGCTTAACACAACGACCTCCTTCATGCTGTATTGTTCAGTTCCAAAGAAAAACACAGCGAGAAATTGGCGAAGGCTGAATAATGCGCACCGAGCAGTCGGCAGATGTGAATGAAAGGTCACCGCATTCTCACATTAACAGGGTACAACAAACCACAAATGACAGTTGCTTAAAGTATAGTATAGCTTCGATTAAATGGAGATATTTTCTCGTGCATCTTAAACCGAATTGTAAGGAAAACTTATAATTTAATACAACCCTCAGCCGCTTTCTAAAAGACCGGAACTAGCCCGTGTTTCCGCCAAAGTAAGTAAAATGTTTAGCACGCAATTTTGTACGTGCTCGGTCACCCCTTCTGTTTTTTTGTTTTTTTTTCCCTGGTGGTTCTCCTCGACTATTTTGCACTACTCTGTATAAACGGTTTTTTTCTGCTTCTGCTTGATTCTGTTGCATGTACATGAATATCCTCCAGACGTGTGGTTGGCCAACCTAGCGCGAAGGGCTCGTTGAATCAATTCTTGCAACCTTTGTAGCTATTTGAGAGTTTTATAACAGAAGGCCCGAACACTTTGAGTCCCCCGAGCAGCGTTGGGCGTCACTGCGCAAGCGCAGACGTTCAGGGCATGTGCAGTGCAACATCGCAAGCTGCTTGGAGGACTCAACGCCTCGGGTCCCCATGTTATAAAATTTCCTATTTTTTGCGATTACCGCATTGCTTGAGTGACTTCTAGCATAGTTCACACTGCCGGTACAAAATTTTTCGTCAGTGCATTGTTGTTTTCAATGCGCCTTGTACAGAACGTTCCATCCGTTTACGACACTTGGCTCGTAGAAAATGCTCGCAACTGGTTATATATAGCTTGCAAAAGCAGAAATGCACGTTGCGGCCGGTTACTATAGATCAAGAAAGGCTGCTGTTAGGAACTACCGGGCATCGCCACTGTGTGTTGCAGCTTAACATCAGTAGTGGTCTGCTAAATTACTACGTACCCTGCACTGCTTTCCTATTCAGTTTTACTGCTTGGTAACTCTGGTGCTATTTGAATGTTGTATGAATGTTTTTTTTTTCAGCACTGACCAAAAAAGTGGGATAAGAGTCACATGTATGATAACGGAGATTACATTTAGCGTTCAGTGGGCATGGGAGCAGCCTAAGGACGCAGTCATCTAACGCCGTCTGATTCCTTGCGCAGATTTTGGCTTGCCCCTGCGGCACGCTCGTCCGACCGGCATCACCTTCTCCAGTTTTCGTCACGCCAGCTTCGGGTGCGCGGGGGAATTCGTCCATCGTAAAGACGCGCCTTCCGGCGCATCCGTGGATTGGCTGCAGCGTGTCTTCCAACCTTTCAAGCCAGCGACAGCATCGACGTCATCATTCATTGACAGTGACACCACAAAACCATGGAGCGCCGCCAGTCTGTTCAGTGGGCATGGGAGCAGCCTAAGAATGCAGTCATCTATCCCCGTCTGCTTCCTTGTGCAGGTTGGTTCCTTTCCATCATTACATACCAAAATAACAAAAAACATTTGTCTTTTGCTGTTCCCATGCCCAAGTGTTCTTTATATATCCATCATTGAGTGTTTTGACGTTTTAGAATAATTTTTGTTGCTCTCTGGTGACGTTGAACTAAATCCTGGCCATATGTCTGACCCCTAGGCCAAACAGTTTTCGGAAATGTTCACGCTGTTGCAAGAGCTTTATCAACGGTCTTTGAAATCGGAGTTGGGACAGCATACTTTACTTAACTCTGTCAAATAAAGGAAATCAAAGTTCAATTGAATCAAAAATTACCAACACTGGGAATCGGCTTGTTCTTGATGAAACCAAGGTGTGTGCTTTTGAGTTGGCAGATAACGATTTGAAATCGGTGAAGAGTATTACCGAGGCATTACAAAAAGACAGTGAAGTTTTGTGCGATTGCCTCAACGATCTCGAGGATCCCTTACGCCGGGATAACCTGATTATTTGTGAAATTCCTGATTCTCCATCTGAAACTTGGCAGAAACTGAAAAGAAGGTCCTCGAACTTGTCTCCCGTTCTCTTGAGCTTCAGGTTCCTCCCGAGAGCATCAAGCGTGCACACCGTATAGGTTCTTTCTCTGCCAATAAATGCCGACCCGCGATGGTAAATTTTTCCTCGTTTATAATTATGAACGAAGTTTTTTTCTTCTCGTCTAGAACTTAAAGGGAGGACTACGTATATCTGTGAGGACTTCTCTCCAGCAACGCGTCTGGCCAGGAAAAAGCTAATCGAGTATGGAAAAGCTAGCAACGGCGTGTTTCAGTTGCGGCACAATGAAGTCCTTATTAACAAGAGGTGCTACATGTATAACGCATTTGCTGATACCGTGTATAGGTGTGGTCCAGCCCCTGATACCCGCACGACAGATAACGTATCAACGCTTCCCTCTAACAACGGCACTCCTAGCACATCACAAATGCTTTCATCATCATATAGCATGCCACGAGGGGCGTGGGCTGTGAAAGTGTTAAACCAATATCGGTACTTTTTGGTAATATCCTAGGCATAATAAGTGCTTTACGTCATAGAGACAACTTATGTTCTGTTATCGATTAACGGAGACAAGGCTTTCCTTAACTGTTAAGAGTTGTGAAATATTTTGTTGCGAAAAACGTTTCAATCTTTATCACTGTGACAGAGGTGCGAGAACTGGGGGCGGGGTTCTTATTGCTATTGCAGATAATATCGATTCTTTTTTGTCTACAGCTGATTAGTGAGTTGGAAATAACCTGTATTTGTCTGTGTGTGAATCATCAGAAGATATTAATATGCGCGTGCTATTGTCAACCCTCTAGCAATATATCGTTTGTTGTCAATCTTCATGACGTGCTTAACTTAGTTTTAGTGCGCTTTCCTTCCTCGCCTATTGTACTTTTGGGCGATTTTAACTATCCATATATATCATGGAATAGCCTGCATGCTTTCTACCGGCCATTTTCATCAGAAGCGTCTGAATTTATAAATGTATGTAATGACTTCAACGTTACTCAATTGGTCGCTCTCTCACGAGAGTTACAGCTACCTGAGCCACCGTGTTAGACCTCATCCTGGCAACATCTCCCGAGTTGATTTCTTTAGTAACAAATATGCAAGGTCTCAGTGATCATTCTTTACTGCATTTTCTACTTTAAGTTTCAACTAAAAGCACCTAGAAGAAAGTTAAAACGATACAGGACTATGGTAGAGGTGGCTTTGATGCTATAAACAGGGAACTTTGTTTGTTTCTTGACGATTACTTGACTAAATTTTTGGACCGCTCTGTAGATAAAAACTGGGAACTGTTTAAAATGAGAGTAGTTAATCTTATAAATAAACACATACCTTTACAAAATATTCCAGTTTTCTCGAAAACTCCTAGGTTTAATCTTACGTTGAAAATATGTTAAGTAGTCTGAGTATCATGACGCAGCCAAGGCTTATTAATGTGCCATTTCTACAGCAAAGGCCGTTTATTTTCAGTCGCCTTGTTGTCCCTCCTAACCAATAACCCTAAACAGTTTTGTAACCTGATCAGTCATAATATGAATGAAACAATATCTCTGTCTAGTCCATCCGGCGAACCTGTGCCCCTTGATGACTGTGCAAACGTTTTGAATTCTGCTTTGTTGATTCATTCTCTGATGCGTCTTTTTCTGTAATACAATATGACTTAATCCTCATGTACCCCATTATACTTGAGATCGGATGCGTTGCTAGTATAATTGATAACTTATAAGTGTCTTGTACTGCAGGGACCGACGACATTAACTCCAAATTTTTAAAAGTACTAAGGAATATTCTTCTATCATACTTTGTAAGGTATTCGAACAGTGTATTGCTCTTGGTTGTTTACCGGACGATTGGAAAGTGGGTAAGGTGGTGTCGATATATAAAACTGGCGATCGACATTCTCCCGTCAATTTTCGTCCCCTTTCCATAACAAGCCTTCCATGCAAAATTCTTTAACATGTCCCTTATTCACACCTGGTCAACTACCTTGAATCAAACACTTTTTTCACTCAATGGCAACATGGTTTACGCAAATCATTTTCATGCAAGACGCAGCTTCTGACCCTCACTCATGATGTTCATCTCATTCTTGATCGCCCTTCTAATGTTGATTGCATCTTTTTGACTCCTCAGAGGCATTCCCAAAAGTATCTCATAAATGTCTCCTTCGTAATATTTACCCTAACGTACTCGCCTGGCTTCATTCCTTCCTAACTAAATTCGTGTTCGTAAATAATACGTCATCTAGTCTGGCTCCCGTTACGTAAGGGTCCAGGCTTCGTATTAGGTCCCCTGCTTCTCCTTATTATCATAAATGATTTATCTTCCCTTGTTACGTCTTCATTTAACCCTTTTGCTGATGACTGCGTTATATATCAAGAAATGACTAACGACTTCGATGTTTTTTGTCTTCAGTCTGACCTCAATCGTGTGTCCGAGGGGTGTGATTTATGGAAGATGAAACTTAACACGAAACAATGTAATGACTGTTTCCCGACTTAACACCGACCCTTCTTGCTACTTCCTCAACAACACTTTTTTTGGAACGAGTATCATCGTATAAGTACTTAGGTGTTCATATTGCATCCAGTCTATTTTGGGAAACTCACACTCAGTACATAACAAGTAATGCGAACCATATGCTAGGCTTCCTCAAACGAAATTTTCCGTCTGTTCCTGTATCTCTAAAACTCCTCCTATATAAAACACTTGTTGGTTCAAAGCTGGAATAGGCTTATGTCATTTGGGACCCCGGCACTGACGTATGAACATCTGCAGTCGAAGCCATTCAAAATAGATCTGTTCGCTACATTCTTATTAATTATCACCGCACCGCCAGCGCAACATCCATGAAACTAACTTTGGACCCGCCCAATCTTGCACTCCGTCGTGAACTCTTTCATTTCTGCCTATTTCATAAGGTGTTTCATTATCCTTCCTTGCGTATCAGACTGCGAACTTCACCCTTCTACATCTCATCAGGTCTTGATCACCAACACAAGATGGGTCTTCCAGCCTGTAAGACTACTACTTTTTACAATTCTTTTATTCCCAAAACAACGGCCTCATAGAACCACCTTCCATCGTCCATGGAATGTATATCTGATCACATCAACAAGCGTTGCCCCTACATAGTCACATTTCTGCATTACATTAGAAATGTTGTTTTTGCCCTTAGGTTTTTTTTCTCTCCTTTCTTGTAGTTGACCTGTTCACCCACTCTCCTCTATAATGCCTTCGGGCCCTGAGGGATCATTAAATTAATTAATTAATTAATAATTAAATAAATATAACAAATTTAATCGCAAAATGAATTAGTTCATGAAGATCAAAGCCCACAACCAAACAAAATAGAGGGTTGTATTCAAGAAACAATAAATATTTGCCTAAAAAAAGAGTGAACCTTGAGAGAACCTTGAACACTGAGAGTCCCGGAAAACGCTTAACGCCATGCGGCTGCGGCGAAACAAGAGAGACGGCACGACGAAGGTTTTTATTTTATTTTATAGTTAAGTCTGTACTTAATTACAAACTAAAGACTCGACAACACGCATACAGAAAGAGAAAGAAAGGCCGAACAATGAATTCTGCCATACTTTGATCTATATCGGATGTTACTGTTTCTCTGTATGTATCACCTGGTTGCCATCAGCGCTGTCAGAATATGTCACCATTTTTTTGGAATTTGAGTAACAGTTTCCTATGCGGCAAGCTCGAGCGGCCATTGAATGCTGCTTCGTGCGCTCTATGTGTCTGGGTTCTGTTTCTTAACCATGCCACTCGCATTCAGTTAGAAAGAAGCAACAAGCATAATATGGTTGGGCTCTTTAGTCCCCAGCCTGGTGACAGTTAACTCTAGAGGGCGAAAATAGACAGCTATAGGACATATGCGATGTGTGGTTTGACGTTCGATCTTGCAGTTCATGTTGAAAACGTTTTATGGTAGAGCATTTCTCTGCATCCGCCAATTTTTGAGGGGATCTTTATTACGGTCAGCTTTATTCTTGTGAGCCTGTAACGGGTAGCATACCTGTTGAGTGACCTTTGTCCCCAGCCGTTACTGTCGCTTTAGCAGTCTTACCCTGGCTGGTATAACTATCAGCGATGGTTTGTCTATTATATAAAACGAGGAGAGGCGTAAAAAACTTTTGTTTGATTGGTATCATCCTGTGTTGTGTGCAATATATTATATACGCGACTATCATACACGCGTAAAAGTTTAAGAATATATTATTCTCACTCCGGGATAAACAGGCAGCTTCGTCCATAGGCATCCCTCTGTGAGAACAAAAGAAAAAGTGATAATATATATATATATATATATATTTTAAAGCATTTATAACCTTTTTTGTGTAAATAACCGGGTGGGCATATTTATGCACACCCGTTTACTTATCACGTCATATATATCACGTCGTTTATTTGTCATTACACATTCAGGCGATATATAGAAATATATTTTATCACACCTCCTGCTTTCCATGAAAAAACATTTTCAAGCTGAAAATTTTATCTTATAACACTTAAAGTATTTCCGCTCTAAAGGCGATTACATTAAGTAGTGAGAGCCAAACAGGACAAACAGCATTTAAAGATACAGGCAAACTGGTACCATTATTTGTCCGAGACCGTCAAAATTAAAACAACAAGCACAAAGAACGTCATAAAATATCTATAGTAGGGGACAGGTTAAGAGTTCAGGGGACGCTCCTCCCAGCCCTTTCCACCTCAGCAGAGCGAGCTCTGGACAGGAGGTCACCTCCACTCCCGCGTTCGCTCTGCAAAAGTGGGAAGAGATGGGAGGTTCGCTCTGCAAAAGTGGGAAGAGATGGGAGGTTCGCTCTGCAAAAGTGGGAAAAGATGGGAGGAGCTTCCCCGAGCGCGTAACCTACCACTGTCTATAAACCCGCTGCGTAAGCTGCCCTGATTTTTTTCATGCGGTTTGGTTGGGTTATGGAAGCAAAACTGGAAGTAGTTTTAGGTTTTATCTAACGATTATCAGCAGGTTCACTCTTTTTGGAGTTTCGTTTTAACGAAATTGGGAGGACCGGGTCTTCAGAGGGTATTTTTATAAGAGACTTGCCGTTTTTTGGATTCTACTTGTATTGATCACAACAAATCAGAACTTTGTTGTTTTCCGTATATATTAGTAACTTCTATTCAATTCCCAGCTCTCGCACTTTCGCATATATAGGATTGTACCTCAGTTAAAAACCAACTTAGAAATTTAGGTTCATCGGGGTTCAGTTATTATTTATTCGATATTCCCCAAAAGTTTTAACATAAAAATAATAACCACAATCAAACTCATCAGAAGGAACAACAGAAACAGAACGCGACATGAATTGTTAGTATAATATTTATAAAAATATTGCACTACAGGCAAGGAAGGCTTTAACGCTGCCTGATATTTTAGAGCTTGCAATGGACTAAATCATACACGGAAAGTTTTCGTCGCTGATAGGCCCTCACTTCGCGTTTCCATTGCATATTAAAAAAACGATGTACTCACTGACTGAGTGAGAATAGCAGGGCGTATCTTTCGACCACCCGGGATCCAGCATGCGCGGCATGCTTTCCCGGGTGCTTTGTCTGAGCTCGCGCAATCGAGGTGTACGAGAAGCCAAAGCGTTGTCAAAATTAGAAAGGTCGCGCTGGAGGTGCGACAACTAAGCTCCTCCCTGCCGTTCTCATCTTGTCAATAACTACCGTCTCAGCTGAAAATCCGAGAGCATTGGATGATAGAAGGAGTACAGTTTCTATTCATAGCTTTAGATACAATGAAAACACTGCTTCCTCCTGAATCAAGAACATCCAGTTGCACTCTACGTATTTTTTATTAATTTGGGTCGTAGACCAGAACTACAAAAACATTGATGCGTTCTCTTAAAAGGGCGTTGTTGATTCAGCTCATTGTCAATTATCCATAGTTAGAAAGGAAACTAGAGTCCCACCTCTTAGTCCTGCTAACCCGACGTTGGACGAGAATAATGTGAAGTACCCCTGCTTTGTTTCTTTGTAATTTGCTTGACTCGGCAACTTTTAGAGTCATACGTACTGGCAAGCCTACCACCTAGTGTTTTACAGCTTTTAAATGTTGTATCTAAAAACAAAAGGAGCCATAGTCCTGACCTAATTTAATGGCTTAATATTGAAGTCAAATATGTACTGTTGTTTTTACGAACGTATCCCTACCAACTGGAAAGGCCTTGATCAAAGAGAGATGTGTATTTTATCCGAATGTTTTTCGAGGACCACGTACATAAAACTATTCGAGCACAAACAAACACTTCGACTTGCGCCTCGGGCTTTTCGAAATATGTGTACAAAAGTCTACACGAACGCAGAAAATAGCATTCACAGATTTGAATAAACGCTTGTTGCTGTAATGTTTAATTCAAAATATTACAGCACTGCGATTTGATAGACGGAAAACTTAGAGCATATTGAAATTCAACTCTCAAGATCGCCGTGCTGAAGGCGTCTGCGATGCAAAATGGGTTCAGCAGACGAAATAGTACACCAACTCTCTCCATTTGGTAGGGTGTCTAACCTAGATGCAGGAGCTTACACTCTAAAATATAACATTTTTTTTATGCAGACTTGTTTTTTGTTAGGGCTACTTTTTGGTCAGAATGCTAAGATGACCGAACCATTAGGTTGACAGTCTGATTTAAACGCTTTCTCTAAAAACAGATGGTGGGACTTCAAGTTCATGTAACTTCTGTTACTTCGAACTTGAGTTATCGCAATGATAACATATTTGGTATAGGTTAGGGATGTCGCGAACCACCCTAGGTTCGATTTCGAAAGGTTTCGATATTTGCGAAGCAAACTAAGGTTCGATTTCGAAAAATTTCGATATTTTCGTACCGACCGAGGTTCGATTTCGAAAAATTCGCAACTTTTGTCCACAGCGGAGCTTCGAATTCGAAAATTTCGATGCTTTCAAGGTTTCTAAAATTTCGAATTCGAATATTTCGAATATTTTTTTACTTCAGGTTCGATAAATTCGAAGATTTCGAAATTCTTTGTAAAAAAAATTCGAAAACTTCGAACGCTTCGAATTTTTATAGACATGAAGTTCGAACAATTCGAAGATTTCGAATTTCTTTTGGCTTAAAGTTCGAAAAGTTCGAAAGTTTCGATTCTCTTTTAACGCTACATTCAAAAAAAAAAAAAAAAAGAACTTCGAAGATTTTGAATTTTTTTCTAATCCAAGTTTTCAAAGTTTGATGTCCAATTTTCAAGTTTTTCTACAGTTTCAGTTTCAAATAACGTTTTCACGACTCACTTGTTTTCACAAAATCAAGTTTAGAAAAGTTAGGGTGTGATATCTAGATTCTGCGAAGTTGGTAAGGCAATTAAATGAGACGACGAGTGTCCCGGACGTGCTAGAATATTTGCCAGTGCAGAATTGTGACCGCCAGCCCCCCGGGGGGGAAGGAGGGGGGGGTCTTTATCACGCAGTAGTGATTGCACGAACACACTGTTTTACGAGACTCATCCAGTTCGAAACGGCCAGGGGCGAGCAGGAGGTTGAGGCTCAGAAAAACCTTGAAGCGACCTGGCAAACTAGCTCGCCACCCCTTCCACGCTAATCCGATCCGGTGAAGTTTATAATTGTCCTGGAGGTTTATTTTCTGGGACGGAGGAATCGCCTCGCAAAAAGCACAAAATCCGACACAACTCGAGGTCGAGGAGCGTTCTACCATACAAGTGGCGTCGGAAGAGGAAAAACGGGGGGAAAGAGGATAGCGGCGGGGGGGGGGGGGGGGGGGGGGGGGGGGGGGGGGGGGGGCTTCAGCCTCCTTCTCCCCTTTGCAGGTATTTCGGACTGTTAAAGAAAACAATACGGGGAAAGAGGGCGTGGTCGAGCTTATTTTAATCTGAAATTATTTATGCGTATGTATAGCTACTGTCGCTCTTCACTGCATAAAAGGTTGCGTAGATGGTCACTGTTAGAAACTCGTTGTCAGAAGGCACTGCTCGTCACATGCTTAGTGGTTCGGAAGTTCAAAGCTGCCTTTTCGACCTAAACACCTGTGCCGATAGTAACAAAAGAAAAAAAAAAAAAGAAGAATAAATGCGGGAATAAAAAGCAGGAAAAAAAAAAAAAAACTATCAAGAATTCGTCGGAAGTGTTCTATTCGTGCATATTCAGAAGTTCAGAACTTCGAAACAAGTTTCTTTTACCAAAATGTGTACAGGCTAAAAGAAACACGTCCCAAGAACGTGAAGCGAAAAAAAAAAAAAGTTTTCTTTTAATGACGTGCTGAACTTGAACACTACTAGAAATCTTCTGCAATGAGTTAATTTATTCCTTAACGTGAAAAAACAATAAATATATTATTTTGTATTCTGCAGATGGCAATGATATGTACTGTCTGTGGTGCTAATTTAAATGCGATACCTCAAACAACTTAGACGAAAATAAATATCAAGTTTAGGTCATAATTGCATGCAGATACATGTTTGGACATTTCTTCGAAACTCACGTTGAATAACAATAATCACATCTTAAGACGGCACTTACCTAGGCTATACATAGATCATTCTTAAAAAAGTATAATATATCTACCATAAATAGCTCCGGCTGCAGCGTGCTTCAAATCTGGCACAAACGATAATCGTCAAAAACCCGTCGTCCGTCCTCGCCCCTTCGGGGATTTATTTCTTTAAACCTAAGCATGCCAGAACATTGAAATAAATGACATTGTCTTTCGTAAGGAACGCAGCACCGCGTGTAAAAGTTCGAGAAAAAAAATTACGAATGTACCCCACTCCTTGAAATCAAATGAAACCGGCCGCCGGTCTTTCGAAGTTCGACGAACGTCGAACTTTTACCCTAAAAGTTCGAAGTTCGTCGAACTTCTGACTTTTCAAAATTCGAAAGTTCGAAACTTTTCGAATTTTCTTGATAAATAAGTTCGAAAGTTCGAAATTTATCGAATTTTTTGGTCAGTCAAGTTCGAAAGTTCGACAAGCATCGAACCTTGCAGCGCAATAAGTTCGAAAGTTCGAAAAAGATCGAATTTTTTAGCGTAATAAGTTCGACGGTTCGAAAAGCGTCGAACTTCTTAGCTTAACAAGTTCGAAAATTCGACCTCCGTCGAATTTTACGATATAGACAATTCGAAAAATCGAAATTTTTCGAACCTTTCGAACCGCTTGATTCGATCATCGAAACTTCGATTCGAAAAAAGTTCGCGGCATCCCTAGTATAGGTACTTCGGTAATCCATATAATGTCACGTACGTTTATTCTGACAGTTGTGTTTGCGAATTCCGCCAAATTTATTTACCAGGGCTTACTACCTACTTAGTCACACCGGAAACAAAAGTAATCGCACTGGTATTTGCGGAACATATATTCCATATAAAAGCTGCAACATTTACTAAATGAAGCAAGCAACTAATTAGGAGCAACTTTTTTTCGTACAACTTGGTATAGAGCAGTATTATTGATGCATGTTATGTAAATTTTTTTCTTTAACATAGACCTTGCCATTTTAGGAGCACGCGACATTACGAGACCCGCAGTTCTATCATACACAATAAACGCTAATAAATATGGTACCTTCTTAGGGACTTGCATTTATATTGCGTCAATGCGGTTGATTCTAAGTTTCTGTGTTTGTGTTTTCGTTTTATACAGACATTTACACAGATATATATATATATATATATATATATATATATATATATATATATATATATATATATACATACATATATATATATATATATATATATATATATATATATATATATATATATATATATATATATATTGCTTGTTTGGGATTTAGGTGAATTGTACTGTATTCGTAGAGGAAAGGGGCATGACATTGCGTGCCTCTGTTTGCTGAATAATTTTTTGATTGGACAGGTATACACATCTCTCACACTCGCCACAAAAATCAGTATTATTATATGACGTGTAGTACTGAAACATTATGCACTTACGATTTTTAGTACATCTTCCATCTTGGCACGTCCCAACTTCAGCTACTTTTTCACTTAATCCAAAGAGGTATGAAGTCTTTTTGTACTGAAAAAGTAAAGACACTGGTAGAGAAAATAAAATAAAAATACAGGGAGAGCAGAAATTGCATTGAACAACTTTTAAGCAAAACAATATTATCTGCAATCTTTTACCAATGATGACGCCACTATACTGGGGAAATTTTTTCGCACACGCTCTGGAGCAACGCCAAAATAAATAACGCAAACAACCTTCGAAAACGATTGAACGAACTGGTAAATGCAAACGTTTTAACCTATATGTCCAGAATTATCTCTATCATGTTCTCAGTAATAAGCTTTCTCACAATGCACATTTAAAATGTATTCCGTGCTTGCAGTATGTTGAGTCAATGAGGAAAACGAGAGCTATCGACAGAAAATTTTGCATCTCTCAAATGCCTTATATCTATATTCGCATATGCTCATTTTTCAGACTACTAGCCAGCGAAAAATCTGCACTATCAAGATTCTCATTTCTTAAACATATAATGGTCTATCAGGAAGATCTTAAGTGTGCGTTTCTACAGATATTTTGTTTCTTTTCCGCACATCACTTGTTTCCTGATGTCCCCGATATCTTACCTGCATGCAGAGATACACATTCCGTCATCTACAAGCGAGCCTAAGAATACTTGGACGTTTACGATATGCTCTCTTCATGGAGATGGAAGCTCAAATCTCATACCCAAAATTACTCAGGAGAGAAGCTGGGCGTTTGAGGGATAAAGCACGCAGTAAGGCAAGCAAACTTGTTCGTCGAAATGACAATCACATTGTTTCGGAACCGGAACTTGTGGTGATATTACTTCTTTCAAAAATTCAGACTTAATATTCTGAAAACTTGGTCAAATTTCGTACGAAAAAAATATATTATAATTTCATGTGCTGGTTCAATTGTTTCCCGGTATAAAAATTTGCATTGGATACTACAGTTGGCGTATTTTATGAAGATGTTCATATGAGTCTTATTTTTACAAGAAAACTCGCCAATGATAGAGCGGTTGGTCTTGTCATCATCTCATGGTTGCTCGAAAGAAAAGTTACAAATATAGCTCCATTTAAGCAAACAAAGTGTGTAAATTACGTGACTTAAAAGACTACTATCAACAGATTTTTTTACTTAAAACTAAGGTTTTTATAAACGGCACTGTGGCAAAAATATATTTTTGTTGAAGCTTAGAGATATTAATTTTTCATATTCTTAACTGTGACCTTGCCATCAAGCATCGAAACTTGTAAGGATGTACAGTCGGCACGGAATGAAAGGCGAACAGTGGGTGCATGGTTTTCGCTAGATGCTGCACCACCTGAACCAGATGGGAGCTGCAAGAAGATGGCTCCTCCTTCCATGTGTTAGACTCTTGCTCACTGCATCCAAACCTTCGGTGTTGCGTCTCTAGGTGACTCAGCGTGGGTCGAAAACCATGCGGTCCTTGTTCGCGTTTCATTCCGTGCCGACTGTACACATATGAAAAAATAGATGATGAATAAATCAATGCTGCTAAACCCTTGCAGCTTAGACTCTTAGAAATGGCTTGCGCCACCTAGATAGGATTTTGAAGTATCAAACTATACTCCATTTTATCATATGTCGGAGCGCAGTCAATGGCTGAATGGCCTACAAGCGTAAAATTATATATTAAAACGCAAGGAAGCAGCGCATTCATTGCGCTTGATTAGTTCATTCGATGATCGCAGAACCACTGGAAAGTTATTAACGCTGTGACAGTGCCTTTTGCCGCTGCTTGGTTCGCCTCATTAGCCCGTAGGCTTGGTTTTGCTCTAACCTAAAGTTACAGGGGAAGCCTCTTGTCATGTTCCAAGTCAGGAATAATAAAAATGATTACTCTTGCCTCGACTTAGCTCGCCAGTTCAATTATCCCTTTAGTTCTTCCGCCTACAAAGTAGCTACACTTCTACAGCTATCTCCAATCCTAGCCCTACACTATTCCCTTTTTACCCATTCTTCCCTCTCCCCAAAGACGGTGACACAACGCCGCACAGGCGCATGATAAACGAAGTTTTCCCTTTTTTCAACGCCATCTCTCTCTCTCTCTCTCTTTTTCTCTCTCACACACTTTCTTTCTCTCTTTAGTTCTTTCCCCCTTTTCGATATCCACTTTTTTTATTTTCGGTCATTCAAACCCGGTGCATTTGCTAAATGTTACCCTTCACAATAAAAGGGAGGGTGAGCAGCACAATCTAACAGGATTGAGATCTACTGCAGATGTGAGCACAGTGTTGGTTGGCAGAACTTTTATGGTGATTGCCAAAGATGACAAGTGTACAATTCTTGAGTGCTCCCTAGTCTGTGTCAAGTAAAAGCGACCAGGTGCAGAGGTCTAATGTATCGCACATTGCGAAGAATACTTTATTGTTCAGTACGCCTGCGCTCTGCAGCATCGTTAGAAAGATGACCAGAGGTGATTAATGCACGGGCATCTGACCAACGGCTTTGCAACACCAGGACGCCTACATGGTACCGTAATAAGTTATGAATCTTCTAGACCAATCAGGAGTATTCGCAATCACCACGGTATATCTGTACGCTTCAACATGGATTTGATATTTTACCAATTCATTTTATTAACTACGCGACCTCCAAATTTTTCGGCCAGGTTGGATTGAGTACAGTTGACCAACGCAAACTTCATCGGTCATTGTTGCAAGTGGCTAATCGCAGGTCAAGGTCAAGCAGACGCCGGTGAGCAGAACATAGATTGGAAAAGTACTCACTACACACTTCTCCCCGTTTTCCAGGTTTACATCTTCAAGCGATCTATTGACATAGCAACTCTTTTTGCACTCTTCTGCTATTTCCTAGAAAACAGGAGAAAACGCCACGCAAGATTTGATCGTGTACAATCAACTGAATAAAGCAAAATAATATTTATAATTTTTCTTGTGTTCTTCTTGCTCTTTTTGTATTATTAATTCATTTCAACGTGTTTGTTTGGCGCACTTATATAGTCCTACTTCGGGCTTACCATTAAAGTGTTAGAAGTGTTAGGTCGTACGTCGCAGATATTCACAACGTTTACGTAAAAACAATTTTAAAAATCAAGCGACCATACGGGCTTTTAGTTGATTGTTTTGATACTTCGGATAACTACCCGATACTCACTGGCGTCTTTTCGCATGCATCGTGTCTTTATCGTGTATTGTTATCGGAGCTATCAAGCCCATCTACTAAAACTCTTTAATAAGTGAAGTCAATAAACGTAAACAAATCAAATTAAAAAAAAGAAAAACACATATTTAGCGAAAATGAGAAGCTGACGTCTCATGGTAATGCAGGTATTCGCGTTCAATACATCTTGAAAGGCATGTCTAGGATTTAAATATCAATGAAGACACTGACACACACCCATATAATCGTTTATTTGTCTCCATTTTGCAGACTTTAGACAAAGTGACGCACTCGCGATTCACCATCGAATTATGATGACATAACCGAAACATTTTGTTAGTTCTACTACGTCTGCTTGATCGCGAGCGGTCACAACACGACTTTCTACGCTTAACACGACAGCATGGACGCAGGAAAACATTTAGCGTACTCGTTTCACACAACAGCTACCATGTGATGCTGACCTCATTATTTCAGCTTCTCTGCAGAAATCCGTGATTAGAAGGGGCGGGGTTTCGCAGGTTGATATTCCGCTTTAGATTAATGGGTTAAAGACGGCTTGAGCGTTTGCGGTGCAATCAATCGACGTCGGATAGTCATGTTGGAACGCTGGTCTGAACCGTAGCTCCTATCGTACAGCGGCGAATGTGACTGTCGTCTGCGATATCCTGTTGCCTCGACCCCGAGAGCGAACGCGCTCTGGAGAAGGGACTAAACAGTATAGAAATATGACGGAAAGTACGTAAATTTAGAGTTTATAATTTTAAGGAAAGATCGTAGATAAAACCGACAAAAAAAACTATCCCTTATTTTGCCGTTTAGATATGGTAGGGTTCGTGGAGAAACTGCCCTTCAAGTGGGGCACTGGGATGAGCGATAAACGTTTTCGAACTCAGGACGGCAAAGCTTCGTACACTTAACACCTGCCGCAAATCGCGGCATTGCATTTAAGTTTATAGAAGAGCGATTTCTCTGCCCGTGAAACCTCGCTTACAGCTGAGTGAGTAACCCCATTACAAAGATTAACTCAAGACGACAATCGTGTCCGCACCGCACCAATATAAAAATAAATGCTATGACAGAAAAACTGGCTACGACGTGCCGTGTGGGGAAGCAAACACATGAGTTCGAATTGCAGTGGAGTGGCTTGTTTTATTGGCTTTCAAATAATCACAGATGAGCGTTTACTTTTTACTAAGAGATTTTTCCCTGAACCATTCAAAATACTTTGAAATACATGAGATTCTTGGAATAAAAATCAACATTTTGGGAATATTTACTGCTTAGGGTCACCGAGAAAATCTGTACCTTCAAACGACGAATATGAAAGGCGGAAACGTAAGCCTCAGAAGTAGTAATCGGGTCAGTGCGCTCTTGTTTTGATGTTTGCATGTGCCGTGTATGTGTGTGCGCTCAATGTATATGTTCAGCTGATGCTTCTAGTATGCGCAATGTATCTTCATGTGTGTATAATAGACCTGCCCAAAAACAATGGTAGTGCGAGCAAATAACATTATTTTGTAGCACATGAATTGGGTGGTACCTAGAGCCACCTAGCCTAGCTACTTGTAACAGTCTGCTGGACCCTGCCATCTGGTGGCAAGCAATTTAACCTTCCACGCTTTGCGGTTATTTCTGGTTACCGTGTAACAGTGTCCATCAGGGTTCTGTACTTGGACCATTCTTATTTCTTATTTATATCAATGACTTTCAAGTGCATGTGTCTTTCTCTATTAGTCTATTCATTGACGACTGTGTAATTTATAAAGATATAGTTAACGACTCTGACATTGCCGCCCTTACGGTTGATATTAACAACACCTGCAAAAGGGGCAAGGAACCGCTCATGGAGCTTAACATCACTAAATCTACATCTATGAGAGTATCTTGTCATGATAACACTGGTCCTTCCTACTCTAGCAACAATTCTACACAAGTTTTTGTGTCCTCCACTAAATCTCTCGGCATTCACATAACCAACAACCTCTCCTCGAATATCCTCGTCCAATATGTCACTAAAAACGCAAATCGACTTTTAGGCTATCTCAAACGTAACTTTTCGCTTGCTCCCCTTTCGTTAAAACTTCTCTATAAAACCCTAGTTCGTCCTTAACTTCAATATGCAGCTTCTATTTGGAACCCCGTATCGCCCTTGCATCAGCTGTCGAATCTATTCAGAATCTTTCCGCCCGCTTCAGACTTTCGAACTAGTATCGCACACCCAGTGTGATCCTAGTTCCATAAAATCGTCCCTCTTCTTGCCTGATCTTTCTTTCAAAAGAAAAATATCTGATCTTTGTTTATTTCACAAGATTTATCACCCTAACCCCGCTCTCCGTCAAGCAATGTTTTTAGAATCATCGTACATATCATCACAAGCGGACCATTACCTAAAGTAGGGATTCCCCACTGCAGCACCTCCACTTTTAATTCCTCTCTTCTACCCCAGACCTAAATTGATCAGAATCCCCTTCCCACACGTATAGTCTTAACAACTAACACTGTTGATTTTAAAAATTTTGTTACCAACTTTTTGGAAGATGTTGCATAGAACATTTTTTTTTTCTCTCGTTTAACTATGTTATTTTTATCTGCTCTTTATTAACCGCCAACTGGGTATCGGCTGTCTTCGTTTAATATCGCAGTGCTGACGAGGAGAAGGCTTGAAGGACTGGTTTCCAAACGCAAGTTTCTTTCCCGGTGGGAGGAAACTGGCTCCGGAAATAAATACCGTTCGTGGAAAGCTCGTGTTATGTTAATGGTTTTTTTTTTCTTTTTTCTTTTGCTGCTACCCTATAAAGAAGGGCAGCGTCTTTAAACATCGTTATAGGGAAGCATCTTTAAACATCGCTACCCTATAAAAAATGTTCATTGTTCAACTTATGACACAACGTTAGAGCGTTTTGACTTGCTGAGCCTTCACCGGCGTCGGCAAAAGGCGGACCTACTCTTTTTGTTTTAAACGTTCCATGGGTCGTTGAATTCACCAAGCCTCTTGTCTGAAGTGTGCCGTAGGGTTCCACGAGTGCCTACTCGGAATCAATCATCCTTTTATATTTTTAAACAATTTAGTCTTTTAAGCCCAATTATTAGACTGACTGAGTGTTATAACCAGTACCTTGAGAAACTGTATATTTTTAACTCGTGCTACAGGGCATTTGTTATTGCTATTGAAGACCTGTCCGGCGGGTGAATAATGTTTGTGGTTCACTTTAAGATTGATTCCGGAGAGCACAGACATTGTTGGGTCTGTCTTTGTGCTACTGCTTCGTATAGTATTCGTTTTGAGTGCGTCTCAAACTTTTTACATTACTGCAATTCCTCTTCATTGTCAACAAGACTTAGAAATTGTATTTTGTTATCATTCAGCTCACTGTATGTCGTGTACGGTTATATTCAGTTTCTGTATGGTGCATTGCCCTTCTGTATTTGTGTGTTTTATATATTCATTTCCATTCAGCGTGCCAGTACCAAGACCGAAGGTTGTTCCTGGGCACTATAATAAACATTGATGGATTGATTGATTGATCGATTATTTGTTGGATGTCATCCAACTGGCTGTGACAGATCCGTATTTCTACCAAGTATGATACATGTAAAAATAAACTTTTATTATTATTATCATTATTATTATCATTATTATTCGCAATAGGTCTTTAATAAGTGGCCGAGAATTATCCACCTTAGTTGAGCGCCGAAAGAAAAGCAGATTTGTTGTCCTTTTAAAAAAAGTACACAGTGTCAGTGACTGCCTGGATGTGCTAAGAGACATATCATTCAGAGCTTCACACGCGGCGACGCGATCGCGGATGCCTTTTTACGTACACCGCAACTCAGGGAATCATGATACACTATATCGTATGGCGAAGACATACAATGGTCATGACAATAACCTGGATAACTATGGTGGTCATAAAGAAAGTTTTCTAAAATCTCTTCGTATGTTATATGGGCCTATAAATCACTATCTTATGTTATTTGTCTCGTTTGCGATAACCATTCTTATTGTGCTGAATATGATGGCGCCGGAATGGCTGGGAGCCAGGACGTGTACGGAAAGTGCGCCGTTCCCTTTTTCGGCCGTCAACATTCCTAAGTTGCAGTGGCATCTTCAAGCGCGGCTTCCACTGTAAGTGCCTCAGCGTTCAAGGGGATGATTACGGCTATTAGATGTCTAGTGGCGTGAGCAGGTGAAAATATGCTTTGTGTACCAAGCGCCGTAATCTGGACAGTGATGAAATTAGAGATTGCGAGTCTAACCCTAACGTGGTTTCCGAGTGCTGTCTCCGATGGCTAAGACCGTGCGTCATCGGACACTGCTGGGCAGTGCGCTTGTGGACTCGGTGGGCTTGTGACGGCGCTCGTGCGAAAAGTGGACAACTCGTCAGCACGGTTCGCTTCCTTCGAGCTAACAGCGTTGCCATTCGCCGTGATCTTCAAATATTAAGCCTACAGTTTTTGGAATTAAAGCTTGCCGAGTCCGATGCAATCGATTCCATTAAGATTACTGAAAGTCGGCGCACATACGTCAAAGTGGCACGAGGCGCCATTTCTTCTGCTGGTCGTCCTCAATCGAATGACCATATGGTCGCACCAAGCTCAACTGGACATCGCCAAAATGCAGCGGGTGCTCCCCTCTCCTGCCGCTCCGAGTTCGGGTGTCGCAGAACAAGTGCAAGCACTGGATGAACCGGTGGGTTCATCCAGTGCTTTAACGGTGGGTTCAAGCTCGCCAGTTACTGCAAGCGTCGTGCGCCGCCGGGAATGGGTGCGCGCAAAAACGCGCCTGTGTTTTCTGTGGCTCGACCACCTGCCGAACGTGCCCTATTCGTGTCGAGACTATATTTGTGTATTACATATGAAAAGCTAAGTGAATTTTCGTCGTCCATTTTGTAGTTGCAAGAAGCTTCGTAGCAAATATGACACGTGTGCTTCGTTTCACATACCGTTGAGAAAATTACTCGTATAAACGATGCTTGCGTGTGGCCCGAAGGAGGCTTGTTTGGGTGGGCCATTTTGGGATCCGTTGGTAGATTCCGTATCTTCTGAGCAGCCGGATAGCACGCCATAACATGCCACAATGAATAGCATAAAAATTTATTATCAGAATATACGTGGTTTGCGGACAAAATCTGAAATCTTTTTAACATCAGTTCTGGTCTCGGATTTTGACATTTTATGTGTCACTGAAACTTGACTTACCAGTTATATATCTAGTTCTCAATACTTTAGCTTTGATTACCAGCTGAGATTCGACAGGTTTTTTTCCACCTTTGAGGGAGGCGTGCTTACGGCTATACGGAAATCCTTATCGTGCTTTCGGCGGTCTGACCTAGAGATGAATTAGTGCGTTTGGATTGAAGTTAGATTCACGAAAGGACTTAATTTGCTTATCAGGAACTATTACTTTGCTCCTCGTTCCGCTTCTACCACGCTGGGTCATGCTCTCTGCCACATCTCTAATTCGGTTAATTTTTCAGTTTACAACGTCATGAGTTTGCGGGATTTTAATATACCAGGAGTTAATTGGGATCTGAACATGTTCAGTACAAATTTGAAGCGCTGAATGGTAACAGGACCTACTTGATTTCGTGAATTTTAACGGTTTTTCAACAAATTAGTTATGCGGCAAATGCTGCTGGTGACGACTTTCACCTGTGCATAACGAAAATCCGAGCGGCCTCGCAGAGCGTTGTTGCCTATCCAGTCGTTCATGCTGACAATACGCATCCATTATTTTCAGTAGCGGTTACATTTTCACGTCCACTTGCTGTCAGCTCGGATGCGCGGACTCCGATGTTTCACTCATATAGTTCACATATACTAGGTAACTCTAAAGGAACAGGTCCGCCATTTGCCGATGCATTCTGGTTGCCGCAAGCGGCGGAGAATAGAGGCACACCTTTGGAGTCCCACACATGGTTACCTACTAGCTTTACATATTTTTCGCTAGATTTCACGGTCGTCCTAAGGATCAATGCACGTACTTACCAGTGGAAAGATATTCGCGTTCCTTTCGAAGCTTACTGTTTGCATAGCGCGCAGCTGTGCGGCATCGCGTCCACGCAGAACTAAACCAGATAAGCAGCTTCGCGCTAAGGTTTTGATGGGCGCGCCCCGGAAAAGCGAAACCGTGTAACCACCAGATTTCCAAGATTTCGACAGAAGACAAGTTAATGCAGCGTAATGATTATATTGCTTTTAATAAGCATTTGAAAAGCTCAAAATTTAGCTTACAACGTTAACTTATCACTGTTTATTTCGCTGAGAGTTTTCAGTTTTCGCGATTTCTATTGCGACTGTCGTCCTTCAGCTGGCAGCATTGGTTCCTTTCTCTCCTGTTCTGTCGCGCTCATTCGCGATCTTTCACTCGGGACTCCAGTTGTCGGCGCACAGGATTTGCCACTCCTCCTCACCCATCTTTATCCCCTGGTTTCACTACGCTCGTGGTGACTACTTCGGATTGTACGCCTTTTTGAGCGATATTAACTGGGACAGTTTACGAAAGCGCTGATGTTGACCTTGCCATCTCTCGGCTGGCTGATTTCTTGAAGTCTGCTATGGACCGCTTTACATTGATAAAACGTAGAAGCCGAAGTAAATTTTTTTGGTGGCTTTCACGTCATCTTCGGTGGGCACTGACTTGGAAATCGCGTTTTCACAAAAGATATAAGTCGTCTGGCGTAGACAAATAGCACTCTTTATTAAATGATCATCTCTCTGCGGTGAAGCCTCTGCTTCAAAAGAGACAAATTCCAACTACATGACTCCCTCGAGCCTGATCTAGGCGCTGTCCCAACCTCCTCTGTGAATATGATTAGTATTGTAGGCCATCCAGTAGAGCTGATACTATAACTTTCAAGACTCGGACAGTTCATGTCTCTGACTCCCTAAGTGTCTGCAGTCTCTTTGCAAACCACTTCTCATCAATAGGAAACCTTAATGGTCATGAATCCAACAACGCAAGCCGTTGCTCTGAGAATCCGCTTCTGATGTCAATTCCTTTATTTACTATTGATTAAATAGTCTTGACCATGAAAGAACTTGCCCCAAAAATGTAATGTGCGAAAGATGAAATCCCGTCCTTTATTGTTAAAGGGTGCTCTCATATCTTAGCTCCTGTACTGCAGCACATTGTTAGCATGAACTTAAAAACAAGTACATTTCTTTTGGCGTGGAAACCTGCTTTGATTGTGGCCGAACACAAATCTGGAAGCTCCACATGTGTCAATAACTACAGACCAATTCAATTGCTTTTTGATTTTTCGAAGGTTTTTGAACCTTCGAAAAACTCCCACACTTTAAGCGTGTGAGTTTTCAATTTCAGAGGACTCTCTGTCGAAGTCAGCACGGTTTTTGTCGTGGACAATCTGTTGAAACCAATTTTGTAACCATTGTGGAGTTCGTGAAACCTATAGTTGGGTCCCATGGTCAAGTTGATGTTATTTATTTTCACTGTTCGAAGGTGTTTGACATCGTAGATCACAATTTATTGCGGTTGAAGCTGTACGTGTGGGTCTTTCTTCGGGGTTCTGCGATTGGTTTCCTATTTATCTTAGCGAACGCTGTAATATGGTTTCCCACTTAGAAGGCAAATCATTCCCTATCTGTTGAACTCAGGGGTACCACAAGGGTCTAACCTTCGACCTTTGCTTTTTAATATTTTTGTAAATTATCCTGTAACTAGTGTGACTGAATCAGTGATGCTTCGGTTCGCTGATGACGTGAATTTTTTTCTAGTATCCACACGCCTGTTAACTGTGAATTGTTACAAAACGATTTTGATGCAAATCATATGTTATACAGTGCGAACTCGCAGGTTTTAGACACCACCATAACTAATTCTGTAATTTCTTTCCGTAAGGCAAATGTTGTTGTTCATTCTTAGACATTAGACGCCTCTGGAATTTCTAGATCTAGTGTTTTACATGACCTTTGCATTTTGGTCAACTCACGCCTGGACTTTAACTGTCATGTTTCAAAGGTTGTCAATGATTCCTTACGTATCCTAGGCGTAATTGCACGGATTACTCTTGACTTTCGGAATTACACCTGCATTTTGAACCCCTTTAGGTCTTTGGATCTATCACTGTTGTATTTTTGTTCTACAGTTTGTAATTCATTGGGTGTCAGTCAGGCGCCCAGGTTGGAATGTGTATATAGACGACTTGTGAGAATTGTCTGCTATCGCCACAATGGACGGAGTGTTTTTTATGATTATGAGCTTCTTTTGTACACCCTTGGTCTATCGCCTCTTTCGGCCAGACGACTAGTTCGCGACATGGTGTTTTTATATAAGTTGGTCAATGCTGTCATTGATTTCCGGATGTAATTGAGTAGAATCTCAATTCATGTCCCCCAACGACAAAATAGATCTACGTATTTTTTATCCTTCTTACTTAGACTCTAGTCCTCTGCTGGCACGGATGATGCTCATATACGACAAAAGTTTTAACCCTGTCGTGGACTTTTTTACTTATTTTGAAAAAGTCAAGAACAGTATAATGCTAACAATTGCTGTGCAGTATATGAATTTTGGTGCTCTCATTTCTTGCAAGTGTAACCCTTGGAAGGCCATAAAGCTGTTTGGGACACAAACATCCTAGGATTGATTGATTGATTGATTGATTGATTGATTGATTGATTGATTGATTGAATGTGTTATCACCTCTCCACTTATCAGGGTGACTGTTCAACTTGCGTCTTGCTCTTGTGCAGGTGATGTCTTTGTAAAGGTGGGTTTCAGTCCTGGCGTCACTTAAATGTTTGTATGATGGTTTTAAATGTTGCGTGTAGCGTGTTTTATTATTTTTTTTTGGGGGGTGGAAGGGGGTGTGTCAGTATGAAGATCGAAATGTTCATTCCTGGGCACCGAATAAAACTCATTCTTGATTATTATTATTATTATTATTATTATTATTATACATGTGGTATAAAATTATTATTATTATTATTATTATTATTATTATTATTATCATCATCATCATCATCATCATCACATGCCTCAAATTCTGCGAACTGACTGTTGTGAAGCAATAACGAGATGCTTTAGACTCTCAACGACCCGCATTTCCTCAGCTATCCGTGAACATAGCAAACAGATGGCAATTGCCGAACGCATACAAAGCACTGTCTGACCCGTTTTAAACGAGTTCCCACAGGCCATTCTAGTAATCGCCTTGTGCTCGTTGCCATGTGTCTATGCTCTGCTTCGGAGAACCCTCTGAGCATGGGCAATAACTGCTTTTTTTTTTTTGGTGGGGGGGGGGGGGGGGGTATAAAGCTTTAGAAAGGTGCATACCTCGCCGTTGTACAACATCCTATTATAATCAAAACAGGCTGGTACTTGATTTGTTCTCCTAGCGATGCTATCTGAAATTTAAAAAAAAAAATATATATATATATATATATATATTTCTTTTTACCCGTGGTTAGTAGGTTTGTTTGATTTACCTGCATCTCTTTACAGGTGAGAGTGTGTAGGGCAGTGAACTTCCGGTATGTGTACTGAGATACTACCGGAAGTGCACCGCTCTACACTTCTCTGCACCGGTTCAAGAGGTGCAGGTAAATCGAACGAGCCTATAAAGACCCTTTCAATAATCGCCTCGTGCACTGTTCCGTCTTCCTCTACTAGGTTGAGGAACGCATTCTGAGCATGTGAAGTAGCCCTTATTTGCATAATATCAGACGCCATACATGCGTCTGTAGCCCACTGACTCGACATCTAGTTTTCCTTCGTCCTAAGTGCTAGAAATGTGCATAGCCTCTTTACTCGTTGCCACATATAAAAAAGGTATTTAACGCATTATTCATGCGCAGCGCGAAGCAGTTCCCAGAATATTTTGTTGTCAAAGAAAGAAACGATGATTTTGGCTTTTCAAACACATACTCTTGACAAAGAAAAACATAAAACTAACCTACGATGCACTTAGATGGGTATATCTTAATTCAACACAGGAAGGGGATATAACGTTGTGTGGAAAGCCTGACCTGTTTACAACGGTTATTAAGGTGAATACCGAGTATAGTTGGTTCATCAAAATATCTTCAGCAGCGGAGGATTGTATAATAAAACTAAATAATCTTAACATTGAAGAAAAAGCTAGGGTGGTAAAAGGTAAAAAAATTAAAAAGATAGATTGTATTTTTTATCTATGCAAGCACAATCAGCACGCTATGACAAACGAGGAATGTCTTTTATTTAAAGAACAAAAAAAATGTTTGTTGACTCTACCGTACAGGCATAACGAAACGCTGTGCACAGGAACCAGCTGCATGTTGACCGCTCCTCCACCTTATATTTCCGACAATACGCAGGCAATAATTTAGCCGAGGACCATCTCCACAGTTGATCAGTTCTCCCATACATTCCGTTTAGAATGCCAATATTTCACCTGACATGTGGTTCCGCGAGGTTTATAAACTGTAAGTACCCCTTAGCAAAATAAAACGCGGTTTCACGCGGACTCCAAACACTCTTGCGCCCTAGCAGCCTAGTGGAGGGCTCTCTGAGCACCCTAAAAACACTCCGTAGATTATCAATATATGCTGTTGTTTTTTTTAAATTTTATATACAAAATAATATTTTTATTCTAAACAGATCAGACTGCTACATGAATGCCGTCTTCACTATGTGTTTCTTGAACTCGGCGCACATTCGAGGAGGAAATATCCGCTACAGTCTGGTGAGTAAGTAACTAAAATTCATTAACCTTTTAAATCGGAAAAATATTCATATGGTACCAATTAAAAAGTTGCTGAGCATCATCTAAAACCGCTAAATTTTTTCAAAAATACTTTGACCGCGCGCAGTAGTGCCCTAAAGTTACAACTCGTGGAGCAGGTACAAGGCTGGGGCTATGATATGAGACGGAAAAATTGCACGGGCGCCTTGTCGCACCGCTAGCCTTGCTCCTGCTGCAAGAGTGGTAACTCTAGAGCAGTGGTTCCCAAATAGGGGTCCGCGGACCCTAGGGGGTCCGCGAAGCCACTTCTGAAGCCCGCGAAACCCTCAACAAATTTTTTTTTTTTTTTAGTTGGCACGGTTTTTGTAGTTTGAAGCGCGACTGTGCCACGTATTGATGAACTGACCAGAATGAAGTAATGTGGCACCTTTGTTTTATGTTTTTCTGCTACGTAGCAATAAAAGGCACCTGTTTCATGCTCCAGATGTGTTAACTTACTAACGTCCCCCCCCTCCCCCCCCCCCGCCCCCCCCCCCCCCCCCCCCCCCCCGCTGGAAGGGGTCCCCCATCACTGAAGGCGGTCCGCAAGGGGTCCCCGACACATCCATGGCTGGGAACCACTGCTCTAGAGCACTACTGCGCTTCTCACACGCTCAAAGCCTTTCTGGAAATTACTCATTTAGTGGTTTCAAATGATGCTCAGCAAGCGTCTGCTTGAAACCATATCTATATTTTCAATATATAAAAAGTTAATTAACGACTTTTTCGAAATTTGCCTTTTTTTATTTACTGCGAATAAAATATATCACCTGGCATATATATATATATATATATATATATATATATATATATATACCAAACGCGGATCATAAGATTATCATTCGCGTTTTTGCAGCCCCAGCCTTGCACTAATTGTAACTTTAGGGCGCCCACCGCGTTTCTCATACGCTTCAAATCCTCTTAAGATTTACTGATGAAGTGGTTTTAATTACTTCGGCAAGCTTCAAATTGGAGCCATACGTTTATTCTCCTAACTAAATAAATATTATAAGATGTTAGTTAATTATCTTGCTTGTTTTGGCAATCAGCCCTCAATATTATCTGCCTCAAACCATATAACTCACCTGCAGAGACTGCATTAGTGAAACGTTCGTAGCTTTCTTAGAAACAATCTGTACAATTACTATATACTATATACAATTACTCTCTATATAATAATGATGAATGCCTCCTCCCTTCAATGCAAGGCAAAGCTTTCGGCGCCTGTGTGTTCGTTGACCTTGAACGCCACTCAAAGCTACACACTCCCACACCTCATCTCTACTAAATTGTCACAAGCTATATTCTCCCAGTAATATTGTCACGGAGCGATGGAAGTTCAGAAGCTCAAATCCGAATTTCATCTTTCATTTCACAGTTTCTTTAGGAAACGACAATGGAATGTAAGAGCACAGAAATTGTTCTTTAATTAAATACGGTATAATACCGCATTTACTAGACTAAGTTGGGACTGAAAAAAACTACGTTTATATATATATATATTGGACTTTGAATCCGTTAGATCTTGTCAGTGTTCGGTTTAGTTTAGGCGAACTCTGAGTGAAAGGCTCCGCGATTCGACACATTACAAGAAAAATCAAAGCACTTACCGGGATTTCTGCAAGATCCATTAACGCATTTCCCAGTAATCGCAACAGGTATTGGAGGATCAAATGGGTCATACTATAAAATTGTAAAATAAGGCGAACAAGATAAGACGTTTATTTAGAAAAATCTGTGGGAAAGTTTATAAACATGAAGAAGTGACTGGGTCACTTTGTTGTTTATTTTGTCAGAATAAAGGGGAGATATGTAATTTAGGTTTATTTCATTTTTTCTTAACCGCTTTACTGTCGCGATAAACGCCACAATAACCCACTATGCACTCTCATAATTTCAAGAATAAAAGCTTAGATGGAAGTTATTCTATTGTAAATAAAGTTCTTTCTTTTCTTCTTTTAATTCCCGCGAGAAAACATTTTGGTGATTTTAAATAATCAACTTGCGATTCACTCTACGATTTACTGCCCTAAATTGCAGAGTGATAGGTTAAGAAACCGTTTCATGCTGTTCCTTTAAAGGGTCAACACGCCATCGAGTCCTTGTTGTCGAAAAAAATTTCAGATCGGACAAAGAAATATTTGCAGAGAAAATCATAACGAAGTCCTTCTATTATAAAATGAAGTTTCTCAGATAAATTCAACATAAAACAAACACTGACTGGAGTGTCTTGTTTAAGTGATACGGTAAAAACGACTACACACTGTGCAGATACAAGTTTATTATGGTGATGAAAAATTTGTTCTTGTAATAGCCATTTACTTTTTTGTGTTGGAAAGTTTGGCAATTTTCCAAATTCGCAAACATCATCTTCTCGAGGCTGCTGTTGCTACACTTATCCCTGGGGAACCTCTTAAGGATGTTGAGCATCTCTCAGAAAACGATGCGCCATTGAATTCGCTTCTCAAGTTACAAGATTGCTTACTCTAGTTTTTCTGCTTAAAAAAACCCTGACATGCCAAAAAAAGAAAACAGAACAAAAAACATTTCGCGCGAGGCGTTAAAATGGTGTATCAGGACATCACCAAAAATAGCTTCACTTAAAGAGTTGCGTAGTTTGATTTATAAAAAAATAGAAATACCAAGCCCAATTCAAAGTTCCCGCCAGTGCCCTGTGACGTAACAATGTCCCGCAGGATGTCGGAGCGTTCAGAAGGGAGGCATCGATCTACGTCACTAAAAGTGGGTTCGACGGAAGTCACGCGACTTTAACTCCTCGTGCCCAGAGCCGTATATGTAGAGAGTTTGGCCATTCGTTGGGAAGTATAGGAGACAAATGCGGAGGCGCCATTGGCTGAAAGCGGGCTGGGCGTGTTCCAGAGCATCTTCAGAAATTCGAATGTGACCAACCAGACGCCAGGAAATAATTCCCTGGCGGTGGTCGCGAGAAACAAACCTGATAACTGCATTGAAGTAACTCTCGATGGCTGAAAATATGGTACACGGGATGTTTCAATCAGGCTCATCCAAAATGATGGTGGAAGAGTGTGACTAGCGGAACGATCGACATAATCCGTTCGCCAAGCGCCGAGAGCCGGGAATCTGCCGTCCGAGCGGTCACACTCTGTCCGCGCAGAACAGAGTTGAGCGGCGCATTCGTTTCTTACATCTTTCTGCATGATCATGATGAAAACAACACGTGCACCCTATATTCAACCACAAAGAGTTACTACACTTCACTCTTACGCGCTTATTAAAACCATATACGAACATAGACCTTTGATCAGAACTGTTTCTCGCTACCACCGCTAGGGGATTCTTTTCGGCTTCTGGTTGGTCAAGAGAGCATGCCAAGCCCTCTTTCCGAGTCAGACGCACGCCCTGGCTCTGCCCGCGCCTCCCATTGACCAAACTCTCTGCATATACGGCGCTGCTTGTGCCCACCGCGACCGTGCCTAAGACTTTTTTTTTTATTCTGGTTTTCTTCACGTGCGATCGTAGCAAACGAAGTTTCAGTTTCACTAGCTTTTTATCGCTGCACCGTTGGTTAGTTTGCGTGCTGTAAAAGTTGAGGACGAAGAGTCAGTTGATCGACGGGATGAAGGTCAATGATGAAAGCGCTGGGAATACAAGCCAGTGTACGAGGGCATGCCATCAGTCCGATGGTGCAGAGCCATACTGGGCACAAAAAAAAAAGCTATCGAGTTTTAAAAAATCGTTCAGCCTTTCCACTCTCGTGAAGAAGGAAGACCAGCGGAGCTGTACTCGATACACTGTGTGATCTTCTTTGTCGACGTCTGTTTTTCGCGCTGTTTACTACGATGAATTCTCACCAACGCGCCCAACTATCCATTCTTTTATTTTACAGCTGGAAAAGTTGCCGCCATCAACGAGCGACGGCGGAAACCGTACTGGTTGTGTGCTTGCCGCCGTCGCTTATAGATGGCGGTGGCTGTCCAGGTAGGTTGGTGTCGACATACACCGACACGATCCTGTGGAACCTAGCCCTTAACAGCTCGGCTGTAAAAAAAAAAATTAGAACGCTTGTATAAATTAGGATTGCTAGCATACGACACGCCCGATTACACTGCTGAAGGTTCAGACACCGAGGTCCCCGGATCATCGAATCATTCTAATAGCTGTCTTGCGGGAACCGCAGCCAGCGACCGCTTCATCTCTTGTATGTATTTTGGAAATGCATGCAGAAGGATGTATTCTTCAGTTGCTGAAATACCGGGACAGTTCCTCGCACAGCACCTTCTTTCTAAGCATTATAGTTGATTACGTCAATTTACTGACTCCTCTTCTTCTACCTTTAGAGCAACATTAAGCGATGAAAGACAAATGAAAGAAACCTTGTCTGCTTGGATCGCTCGCGGAAGTGCGGAGAATAACAAAAATATTTATAAAAAATATTACACGCGGTCGTGGTAAGCCGAGGTGTTGGTAAGCACGAGGAGTGTTACAACTCACGTGACTTTCGGCGGTGCCTCCCTTCTGACCGCCTCTACATCTTTCGGTACATGTTTACGTCACAGGGCACTGGCGATCACTTTGAATTGGGTTCGTATTTCATTTTTTTATAAAAAGATTTACGCAACTCTACAGTGAAATAGTTTTTGGGTGATATCCAGACATACCATATTCACGCCTAGCAGGAAAAAAAACGTATTGTCGTGTCAGAGACCTTTTAATTGTCGAGGGAGAATGTACATAAAATATTTTTATTATTAGCCATAGCAATTACTGAGCTTTGTCTCGTACAAATTCACAAATATACACCGCATAAACAGGAATGTTCACCGCCCGTGTACAGCTTTGATTTGCGCGCACCTAACTCGCTGGGAATTTTTATTGTGTTCATGTTTTGAACATATTGCAGTTAGTTAAGCTGCTAGTAAGACACATTATGTTTTAAACTAATTGTATTAATTTAAAAATTGATAAATAGAAAAAAAAACTCACATTGCAGAGTCTTTCGTCAGAAAAGTCTTCGGTAGTTTTTTCTCTCCAATCTGTGGTTTTGTTTGTACACATTATGAAGCACCATTTTTCCACTTCGAGCTTGAAAAAAATATGAAATTAGGAAGAATCAATAATTAACGTATTGTGAAATAGGAAAAATGCAAATTTCTTATAATCCTGGGGATCGGCAAAGAAAGTGCCGGATTCAGGCCAACACAATTCTATAAAAGCAGAGCCATCTAGCACATTAGGGTGGCGATGCGAGCTATAGTTGATCCATACTTTGAAAAATTAAACAATATAGCGCAGTAATAAAAGTCAACTCGACAAAATAAAAATGAAAAGAAAAACTACCGTCGATTATACGGTCTTACCAAACCTTTAGTATATTTTAATTACAGTGTCCTTTTCACGGCCAGTCAGTTTTACCACCTTGCTCCTACAGCCCTTGTGATTCATGGGGAAAACTATAGCAGACGTGCTCTGCCTTAATTTCGTCAGCTCACCACTAGAGACACTGTTCAGCGAAAGTAAGAAACGTAACAGCGCAAATTCAGCAAACACTTGCGAGATAGAAGCGTTCATTGCTTGACAGTTGCCATACCAATCGTCGCGGCCGTTGTGATGTGGGGGTTCGACGTGCCGCACAATCACTTTGTCAGTGACAGTTGCTATGGTAATCGTAGCGCGATGTCCGTCTTCACGTCACACGACTGACTCATGGGCAATATTTTCCTCAGCTACAGTCCATATTCTAGTATATGGCACCAATATTAATCTCTCTCTAATCTCGGTAACCGGCTTTATTTTATTATTGGTTGCCAATCTTCTTTAGTCGGCAACCGATTTTTCAGTCATACGCTGTTATTTTGAAGGTATCAATGCATCTAGATCTCACAAAACCAGTGTCTTCAATCCGAGTATTAGGAAAGGAAATGTTTAGACAGACTCGGTTTTGCTTTTATCATTGTGCCGTCATTGCCTAAATAGACCGATATAACTAAGCTAATAATGTCGTTCAACACCTGAAGCTGTGGTGCAGAAAATGACAAAAAAACTTTTGGTCGAGGACACAGAGGCAGAAGGGAAAACGATATCGGTATCGTTTTCCCTTCTGTATCGGTAGCACACTCGGCCACCGATACCCCCTTTTTTCATAAGTCATTTCTCGGAATGATATGGAGCCACCATGCAGTGTCAGTGTTACTATTCGCGGCCCGCGCTGCCACTTTAAGAAATTCTGTTTCCACAGTAAAAACATGAACAAACAAAAAGTGTGTCAGGCCATTTCTAACAGAGCGGAAAAAAATAAATTGCGTGTCTATGTCGAGTGAACACGACGTAGAAACAATCATAACACCTTGAGTGTTGGTTCAGAGCGAAAAAAGATATATGCCTAAAGCGTGTATAATCAGTTTAGCCTAAAAATAATTTATTTTCCGTAATTGTGTAATTTAAGGTCATAAAATGGTTTCAAATTAGACGTGAATCTCGGTATTGTGTTTTCAGAAATATGAGAGTAATTATTTCATTATTATTTTGCACACTTTTGCGATATTTATTCCAGGGACTGGTAAAATCTTAATTTGTAAAAATAATACAAAACACTACTCACATATTCTGTTACTTTTATCTTGTCTGCTCTGCATGTTGCATTTATTTGCACTTTTCTGATGTATTTATTTTCTGAAAGAAAAAAAATGTAATTGAGCTTCACAAGATTCACGTGATATAGTGTATGATGCTAAGTTCAGTGGCATAACTAGTGGTCACAATATGTTATAAGCACGTTTTCCAGTTTCTGAGCTGTGTAAAAAAATGGCGAATTCGGCTTGTGTCTTGGTATGTGTATATTAAAAAAATACTCTTTTCATACATTTTCGCTTACATTATACAAAAATATTGACTAATTCGTAGTTAACAGTTAACGTGCCCTTTTTGAAGGCCTTCGCTTTCTAGTTTGGTGAATTTTCAAAACGTTTGCATGAATTGGAAAGATAACAAAATATGAAAAAGAGCACACACTTCAATATATTGTTATTATAACTATATGTTCCAATTCTCTAACGTGTTCTTGCGTCAAAGGCTCTTCCTAGCTGCAATATAGGTTTGGGAAGTATCTCCTGCTTTTTTCTACCAAGAAATACTCGACCCAAGACTGCGAAAGGAGAATGGCTAACCGAAATATATAAATTTAGAAGTTTTTAAATTAAAAAAAAATAAGAATAGGAGGAGGAAGAATATGAGGAAGCAGAAGAAAACGAAGAAGAAAAAGAGCAAGAAGAAGAAGAGGAGGAAGAAGATGTGGAAGAAGAAATGCCAAACAGGCTTCCGACAGGGCCTGAGCACGCAAGCCAACCTGCTCATTTTCAATCTTGATGTGCTCGATCGTCCTTCGAAAGTTCCACCAAGAACAATCGTACCAGTCGACGTCCAAAAAGCCTTTGACCAGTAGTGTAGCCAAAAACTTTTCTGGGGAAGTGTGTGTTTTTGTGTGTGTGTGTGGGGAGGGGGGGGGGGGCTGTGTTGACCGAGATATCCTTGACTAAGGGTGCGGAGGGGGAGAAAGGGCGTCAAAACGGATATGTATGTCTCATTAAAACTTTTGTTTGGGCTAGTTGGCCCATGCTGGGTATATGGTTATAAGGTTATAAGACCTACTAGATAAAGAAGTGACTTATCTAGATGGCTGTCTGTAAAATGTTTTATTGGCTGTTAGCGTGTTTTGATATGTAGAGGCAGATGAGTTTTGCATATAAGCGTTGAACGGTCTTGCAATACATCAGTTGAGAGTAGCGCCTGTCCCTGTCGTCTGTGTTATTTTCTATCATCTCTCTCTGTCTGTGCTTTCAAACCTCATACTCGCATGTATGTTATGCGGTTGGCTCAATTTCATGGGAGGCTGAAGCCCCATAAGCCTCTTCCCTGGCTAAGCCACTGCCTTTGACTCAGTCCCTCACGCGGTGGGGGTCAAAGCGCAAGCCTGGCGGGCGTCGGCGGTCGGGCGCTCAACTGCATCTAAAACTTCCTCCGAGACAGGCGGAACAAGGTCAAGATCGGAGACAAGACGAGACTCGAAACGGTCAACACACCAACCCTGTTCAACGTAGTTAAGACGCGCCTGCCCCCGCTCCTATCCAAAATTTCACACCTTAGTTTCCCTATTTGCGGCGAGAACCGCGCTAGGCGACGCTACTGAGCAGCAGGTGAATGTCACGCGATACCTGCGATATAAACACACACAGCGGTACGGCGTGATCGCTTGCTTTCGGACGCGGCGCGGTGGTTCGTTATTGTTCTGTTCTGTCACCGGTGGCACAACACACGCGACCAAAAAAGGTGTAAGTTTCGATCCATATCCAAGAGAAAACAACTGGGGAAGTAGAGATTATATTAACTAAGGGCAAGAAGGTGTGGGCGAGCGCGATGGTGTGATCCAACCACTTCTCAGGTTCGTTCCCGACGAATCGTGTATATTGTATATATTTTGATTTTCTTCGTGAGTGTCTGTTTCTTCCTCGTACAGATTCCACTGGTGGGGACTTAGCGCCAACAATAATTCATTAATCCGTCTTTTTTTTCCCCGCGCACCCAAATTCCTTTCTTGGTGTCGTCCGCGTCGCCTGTAGCGCGAAGATTATGGACTCAAACAACCCCTTCCCAAATTTGTGAACCGTCACTTTGTCGTCACCAGTATCTTCCGCAAACGGCGATCTCGTGACAAGAAAGTTCAGAATATTCACATCCCGCCTAGGGACAATCGAGACAGCACTGACTCTAACGCGGAATAGGGATGTAGGGACACGCTGGCGCGACGACATCAGTGCAGCCGTTCAATTGACTGACCCCACGCCGTCGCTCGCGAGCGCTCCGATGAAGCTCGCTACAACTTTGTTTCACAATCTCGCTTGAATTCGAGCACCGAGAGAGTTTGGATGACTGCCATCTTGTCCCGCGTGACGCCATCGTCGCGAGAGTCCAATCAGCACGCTCTGCGAACTTCGGCCTCAACTTTGTTAGAGATAAAATGGAAAGGGTGCAGGCGAGCTGGTGAATGTTAACCATGTTGAATAAACCTGAGACTGGGGCAGAAAGGGGTACTGCTCGTCGATTCAACATGCTCAACTATGTGTTTGATGAGTTTAGCAACCCTGGACAACAGATCTCTACACCCACTGAGGTCTCAACAAGCTCGCAGAGGTGGCTGGGCAACTTCTGTCGGCGCAGAGAACCAGATTACTAAGCACACGCGTGAAAAACTGAATTCTATAGGCCCGCTTCAGACGGAGCAATTTCTCCCAGCAACTTGACGTAGCAACACCAGCAACACGGGCCGCCCGCGTTCACACGCAGCAACAACTTTCTGCACTTTGCCATGATCGTCGTTATATTTTATTTTTCTTGCACTATTTTGACACACAGTTACGCACTATAAACGTGTTTTTATTCATTCAAATGTCGTTGAGAATACTTATGCACCTTTCTGAAGCGGTTTATTTATGAAAACGATGAATTCCAAATTAGAACCAAGTCTTTAGTTGTCGTCATCACCGACAAGGCGTATCACGTGTAAATATAGCGTCCCTGATTTGCCAACAGCCGCTTGAAACGTCTTCGAATTGCTCCGAGTTGCTCGCTTGTTTCGAGCCGGACCCGATCTCAGCAATTCGTGTCGATCTAGGGAAAGCTAAGAAACAACCCGCCAGCAACACCAAAATTGCTGAGAAAGTTGCCCCGTCTGAAGCGTGCCTAAGGGGTGTTAAAAAGTCGCCCCAAAAGCTCTAAATCTGAAATGGTTACACAAGAGGCCATGTTTATCATTTTATTATACTTGAAATACACCATTTAAATAAAATACATTTAACTACATAATGTATACTAGTTGGAGTGCTTTATACATTGAAATAGTGCGTTGTAGAAGCTTCTATTTACTACTGCTGTGGCCATCAAAGCTACGTCTGCGCACAATTGGTAAAATCGTTCTTACACGTCCTCTCACATGCAATTTTGTTTTACCTAAGCAAGTTTCTTGAAAAAGTGGGGTCCATTCCGTTGTGCGGACAAGTTTCGCTACCTCATATAATAATTTAATTTAAAACAAAAAAAGTAGCCATGACAATCCCTATGACGGTCCTTATTTGAACGCGCCCATATGTGTACTGTGATCGCAGTAGTCCATGGACAAGCGTTATCCAGTTTCAACATACTCGTCGGCAGGCACGTATCCAGGATTATGTTTCAGGGGGGGGGCCCGCCCATGACAAAATGCTGTATGAGGGGGAGGGGGGAGAGGAGGTCTCAGCAAAATGAAAGATTTCGGGGGGGGGGGGGGGGGGGGCCAGGCCCCATGGGCCCCCCCCCCCCCCCCCCTGGCTACGTGCCTGCTCGTCAGCGAATGAAATGAGGAATATAACCGCCGTTGAAAATTTACGCAATTGAGTGTTGCTGGTGTTGCTACGTCAAGTTGCTGGGAGAAATTGCCCCGTCTGAAGTGGGCCTATAGAATTCAGTTTTTCACGCGTGTGCTTAGTAATCTGGTTCTCTGCGCAGACAGGAGGGTGTTGTATCTAGGAAGGTGTTGTATTTGGCGCGTGGAATTAAAGCTTAAGTGACAGGTCCCCTTTCTCCCTCCCTTTTTTACTCCTGTCCCGTGACGTACTGGACGTACCCTCTCCCACTATTTAAAAAAAAATAAAAAAGTCTAAAAGTGTGAAAGTGCGAAAGGCCTCGCTTATTTTTTTTATTTTTTTTTAATCTTCAGAGATGCATTCTTATAGCAGATTTCTATGCAAGGCAAAACATATTTTGTCATCACACTTTATTCAGGAATCCCGCATGTCGCAAGGTGGTGACGTCATCCAAATTTATTCCTTTAGGGGAGGGTCTTTCTTCATCCACCCGTCTAATTTGATAAACATTCAAGGGATGTCGACCAAGATAAATCGACTCTCTTATGAGGCAAATTTGTTCACAGTCAAGGTCGAATTCCCTGAAAGCATGGATGTCTGCCTCGTTGAGGCAATATTTTAAGTTTAGGGTCTTATATATGTCCAAGTTTACGCCGGCTTTTTTTTTTTTTTTTTGGAGGCAACTGAGTTTTGTCTGTGCACACATCGCCAATATAGATTTTTGACATCGATAACATTTTCAGTTCTACGTTAAGGATCAACTTTAGCGTGCAGTTTCCGTACGATTTTAATTGAGCCACGCTGGGATTGACGGCGATCAGGTATGCGATTAGAAGAAAAAAACCAAGATGAGGATTATGTGCGACCAGACTTTCGGGCACTCGCACAATAATCAAATGGTGCTGCCGTCCACGGTCTATATAGGTGCCACCCAGTCTACGACTGGATGAAGAGCGACACGAATGCGTTGCGCCCGCAACGACGACCTCGACGACCTTGAGCAAGTGTTCAAACAGATGTAACTCTCGAGGTAACGTTCCTCCTTAAACATTTGAAGACTTGTCTAAAAGATTGCGTGTGTAAGCGCCAATATATAGTAAAAAAACACTTGCTCTTGTTACAAAAAAAAAAAAAAAGCCGGCGTTATTTTTATGGATAGAGAGTCGGGCTGAAGGGCGAGCGATCAATTGCTAACGCGAAACGGTAGATTTTTGTTTGTTTGTTTGTTTTTTTTCCTTCGGGGAGCAAGAGCTTGACGTCACGCCGGGGGTCCGGCTCCACTTTAAAGTTTAAACACATCAAGGGGAGCTTTAGGCTCCGCCGGCGGTCAGATGGGCTCTGCCGCCGGTGGCAACGCGGTTACGCGATTGCGCATCAGCGCGCTGCGCCTGGCGCCGGATGCGCCGCCTGGTGGCAGTGCGCCGACACAGACATTATGTGGTATCGTGACGTCACGAGGGTCGGCGCTACTTAGGGCGTCGGCTCTCGTGATGAGTGCACTAAGATAAAAAAAAAGTCGGTTAGAAATGTCAACTTGCAAAAACATCGAATTCTATGTGTATTGGAACCATGACATTGGACTTTTTAAAGGAATATCGCTATAAAATGTGTGAAGACATTTGCAGGTTTTTTTTTAGATGGAACACGGAAGCACAGCGACACCAAGAGCTCATCGCAGTCATGTCTACAGTGCACAACCTGGCGTAAAAACGTCCTATCCCGTGCAAGCCTCCGTGAAGAGGCTGAAGGCCTAAGTCTGCCAAGATAGAACTGTAAAGATGACGACGACCAATGTATCTATTGTATACTATACGAATAAAATTACAATGTACCTTTTGTTCACAAACGTCTGAACACTGCTTTCTTGGAACCTTAATAAACGCTGAGGTGGCCACAGGCCAAATGATTACCTCTAAAATGTAGGGTATATAAGGCTGCAGAGCAGTCAACAAGGCCGTGATTCAGGTGTTGTGAGTGCTTCATGGTGTTTGTGGAGATTGTTTGTTTCTTCTGTGTATTTGTGGGATGTATGTAGTGCGTTCCAAAACTATATAGGAACGCAATTTCAAAACAAAATATAACATTAAAAAATGTTCGCAATTTTTTTTACCTTATTTTGCGGCAGCAAGTTTGGAGCGGAGTGAAAAGCCTCTAGGCCTTTCAAATCTTTGTTAAATAAATAGCTAAGGTTTGAGTTGCGTCATTGTATACCATGTGTTTTCCAGATATTTCTATAATGACTGTTTCTCTTTGTTTTTATGACAATGGCTGTCTTGTTATTTATTCTCATTGTAACTTGTTGTACTGTTATTTCCGCAGTATGAACTGCAGGGGGCAGAGGCCCTGTCAGGCATCATGCCTTTGTCTCTGCCCCCTGTGCGCGTATATAAAATCCGCAAAACAAATAAAGAAAAAAATTCGCGTGGCTGAAGTTTTTTTTGTATAAAAAGCTGTAGTGTTTCAATTGATACAAACTACTGAAAAGGCACATTAGAGGCGAAAGAAGACTTCTTATTTAAGAGGGGGCCAATATTCAATAAAAATACTAAAAAAAGTCAGATGAAACGGTGTTGATATTTTATAGCCTCCGATGTTCTTTTTGAACAGCTTTTCAAAAGAAAAACACTACAGTATTTTGTAAGTGTAAAAACGCTCTCGTTCTACATCCCAGCATCCGAGCCCCGAGCCTGTGAAACCTGTATGATCTACTTAAAATTAAGGCACTTCGTAAAAATCGACAGAATGTTCTATGATGAGGGAAATTTATAGTTTGCATCCGGCAATAACTATAACATCATTTATTCATTCGTGTACAAATAAAGAGCATTTTCTGGGTTTTTACGATTTGTTTAAAAAAAAAAGGGAGTGAAAGCTCCACTTATGCGGTTTGTGCAAGTGAGTCATACGGCCAGGGAAACCTGGATACTCGTCACGATAATTCAGCTAACAACTATATTGAGTTAATTAACTATTCAATTAGTGAAAGTAAACATGCTCTCAATTAGGAACTTGACTAGCGTCATCGAAAACCAATTATTCAGTCAATTTTAAAAAGACTTGAAACGCGTGGGAAGCACAGGGAAGAGTGAACTTTACCACAAGTGCAGCAGGAGAAAGGCTACCGGTGCGGTAGCGTGCCCGTGCGGTCTTTCCGTCTCTTAGCATCCGCGTTTTCTCAACATCAGCACTCCCTGTCTCTGTTGCGCGAATGATAAATTTAACGCACTCTTGCGCTCCGCGCGCGCTCGAAGACTTTTTCTAGAAATTACTAATATAGTGGTTTTCAATGATGCTCAGCAACTTTCTAATTGGACATACGTTCATTTTCAATAGTTAGAAAGGTCATTATTCGGCTTATTGTGGCGATTACTTGCCTATACTATGTCTTCCTGACCGCAGAACGCATCTGCACAGAACACATTAGTGTTGCTCTCACGAGTTTTTGTAAAAATCTGTAAAGCCTAAAGAAACACCCTGTATATCCGTGTAATAATATTTAGCAATAGTAACATCCTAAATTAGAGCATCGTGTAGGATCCTTCATCCGCACCTGAGCAGTGGAAGTGCAAGAACCCGCTACAACCGAAACTTCTTGGGTCAAATACTCCAGCATGGAGACAAAGTGTGGCTGCACCAGCCACGCCGCACCAAAGGTCACTGCCCGTAACTTCAGCCCAATTGGGAAGGCCCCTACGAAGTTGTCAAGCGACTAAACGACGTCGTTTACCGGGTTTGGCCTCTGCTGATCCAGAGGGTTCACTTAGTTCATTATCTTAGGCTAATTCCCTATCAACCCGACTGAATATTTTTTGTGCCACCTTGGGGCGAGGTTCATGTGTTGTCAGGGGTCACTGTTATGGCGGTTCTACGAATGGGAACACTACGAAAAGGAGGGCACGAAGAGGGTGCGAGAAAGAAAGTGAATGACGAAGAACGTTGAACGCCAAACGCAGGGCTTTTAAACAGTCTTGATTTTCGTAACAAGATATTTAAAAACTCCAAGAGAGTTTGTATAAAGAGTGCTATAAAATGTATCTGTGTGATGAAGGAATTATAGCCGCCTGACACCAGTGTTCAATAACGTCCAATTCAAGATTTCACCGTGATAGCTGTCTAATAATCGGAGTAAAACTATGATATCTATGGCTCTACAAGACGACTGAATTAACTTTTAGTATCTGACTTCCATGATAGGGCATTCTAACTTAACACATAAATTTGGCACTAGGAGGTGCATTACTGGTTGCATTTTAGTAGTAGTAGTAGTAATAATAATAATAATAATAACCTTCATCAGCAACGGTATTCGTACTTTGGGTGGCTCGCAAGGCAAGACAAATGCGAAGCGCAAGTTCGTCTGCTTCTTTTGCAGGGGTTGTGGTGACGTCAGATCGCAGGGCTCTGATTGGCGTTGATTGAAAGATAGTGGATACACTTCAAGGCAGCTTGCTTCAAGGTCGACCCCCTTCAATCAAAGCCAATCAGAACTAGGCGTCGTTCTGACGTCACCATACCCCTGCAAAAAAAAGCAGACGAACTTACGCTACGAATAGGCAGGATCTTGAACGCATAAGTGTATGCTATCCAGCCACCCAAAGCATCAAATAAAATGCTTAAATCAAATTCACAAACTTCAAGTCCCATTGCTTCCTTCGGATCAAATTGGAGTTAAAAGCGTTCGTGTTAAATAAACAAAAAGCTACTGTAGGTCATTGGGATATTTAATAAACGTTCAATAAAAAAGGTCGTAAACAAAATCATTCTCACTTCGCTCGCATTATTTGTTTTGCTAACTGTGCATCCACTTGTAAATAACTCCTGGCGTTATTTCTAGCATTGCTTGAAGGACCGAAAGGACCATGCAAGTCTTTGAGCTATGCCTACAAAGATGTTTCAGAACTACCCTGTTGCATATCTTGTACCTGCATATGCCAGAAATCAATGCCGTTCGAAAGGGGACAATATTCATATATTCGCACTGAGAAATGGTAATCCAAATTTATGAACTCCAATGAACCGACACTCACGATCTTCATATCCATGTATGGTGCTGCACATTTGCACAATCAGAGCCAGCGTAAGCAGCATATTTTAGCAGTATAGATGCGCTTTTCGCAGGTTAGCAAGAGAGACCAAATGCCTCCTCAAAATCAAACCGTTGGAGTATGTGGCCAGCAAACAGCCACTGGGATTTATACGGACATTAAATGAACCCTTGCCCTTTTTCAAGGAACCGGTTTATTTCATGCATTTCGTTTTGTCGTTTGTTTGTTTTTTTCCTTCGCCAGAGAAGTTAGTGCGATTTTTCTTTTTCATTGGCCATGTCTATTGTTGTTGCATTTCTATTTTTGTTTTTTCTTCTTACGTCAGAGGGATCGCGGAAGACAATCTAGAGAGACATCTGGGTTTTGTTATTCTGCCTCCTTCTGAAATACGTTTTCATCATATTAAAAATGTCACTTGCTATTTTTCGTTAAAATTAAATACGTAGGGTGCAAGAAGTAAAGGCATTCTCACAAATCTTTGCATTTACCAAATGTTACTTTTGATTTTACATCAAATTACACAAGTACCGGGTGTTGTCAAAACAAAAGGAACGTGCTTTTTCTTTTCTCTGCTTGCGTAAATAATTTATACGTACCGCGAAAAACTGCAACTCGGTGAGGATGTGACGCTAGTGGTTGGAGTAGAGCGCGAACGTTTGAGTACATGAAGTTACCTGAGTCAAAATATAAAAGGGAAAGACTATATTTTTGTGGAGCCGATGTCTTTCTAAGCCTAATATCGTCCAAGTACGAGCTGACGTTGTGGACGCATGTGGCATTTCTATTTGTCAGTGAAAAACACTTGGCAGCAACCAAGAAAGTGTTGTTTTCTTTCTTGCTGACATTCCGATCTTTTTTTTTTCTGAAATAATTTTTTGAGGCGACCACAACGCCATTCTTTAGTATTGACATTGTCATAGGCTTAGGTGGGGGTCAGCTCAGGAAGAAATTTATTTTTTGCTATTGTATCTTTTGATCCAGATAAGGTGTTCTCAAACTTTGGCATACCACCCCAGCAGCTAGCATCAGGTTCTTATGAAGCACCTGTTTCCTGAAATGCGTAGTTCTTTTACGCGGGACGAAAAACACGTTTCTTTTTTCTTAAGAACTCACGTATTTTTAGTTACGGCAAAATTCTTATCTTGTACCAACGACCTGTATGTGTTCATTATGCCTTTTAATTCACCTTGTAAGAGCCCTGTATGGGCTGACAGTATTAATAAATGAATGAACGAATGAATGAATAAAATCATAAATAGTACAATATTTAAAAGGCTCTTATGAGCCTTTAGCTAAATGATTTTGCCTCATAGCTTTTGTCTGTTCTTTTTTATAATACCGCAATAATCACTAGCTCTCAGAGCACAACTTTACTGGCAGTTTCCGTCCACTGTTGTTGGGTACGCATAGTAAAACACGTGAAAAGGCGCCTTTTACCCCACACTTTTCTGGGGAAATTTGCTTGAAACTTGTTTTCTTTTGGTAAATGAGGCGCTCCAGCTGGAGCCATTGCACTATATGTTCCCACCCGGTGCCTATACAGTGCCACTAAGTACAGCCAACTCCAGCAAAACAAAAACTATTTTACCATTTAATAAGCGAGTTGCACATGCGCATTTTGCGCGAAACAGGGGACCCAGAGCACGGACATCAAAGACGCGGTGAACTGCGCCAGTCGAGGCGTTTGTACTGCCAAGGTCATACGTATTTACGCTAATGTTTTTAAGTGTTTGAAACTAACAAAAACATTTGATTACGGTGCAAGCTTTGCGTTCTAAAGATAGAGATTTTTGTCATCCTGAATCACTTAGACTTTAAATCTGAAGGAGCACGTAACGTAATTTTGAGTTTATAAATATAAAACAATTATGAATTGGTAAAGCTTTGAATAATGAATTCCGGTTACGTTCATGTTTTCGCGTATTACGTCCGTCTCGCAATTTATAAATATTGTGGGTTATGATGTTTTTATCTTCGCCTCATTCGCAATAATTTTTTTAGTCGTGAACTGCTGAGCTAACTCTAGCCTGAGAGGTTCCTTATAGTAATAAGTAACTTTTTCGAGTATTTCGAACTCTACTCAGATGCTTTTTAGAGTTGGGTATTAAGCACTATACTCAGTTACTATTTTATCTTGTTCTCTGGTTTTTAACTCTGACATTTTTCTAGTATTTTGTGCAACACTCATTATTTGTCATCGCGCAGTTGTTCAATGCCAATTTGTTTTAACGAGCTGAATAGCCAGCTGAACAATCATATATATTGGGATGTCATCAGCTTTATGCACGTTTGTAACGCCGAAGAACGATTGAAACTAGAGATTATTAGAACCAACCAGCTTGCCGCATCTTACGGACCAACCGAAAGTTTTAAGATAAAACGCTATTTTCTAAAAATATAAAAATAATAAATGGAAATTCCAGAATTGCTATAAAGGTTGTTTCGAAATTGAAAATCAACGTACCAGGTGTCAAGTCCAATTATTTTACCAACAAAAGAACTTCATGAACGGCGTCCTCTGATCCCGATTACTAGCTTTACATTTTAACAAATATTGCGCGTTCGGTAACAAAAAGTTTAGTATTGCAGTAAAAAAAAAACGGTTTTCTTTTCCTCCAAAGTTCCCAGTATATTTCGCGAACGGACAGCGGTCAATAAGTTAGGCCCAAAACTCCGCGCTGTGCAAGTACGTTTTCCCGTAGCGCTTTAATGCACTTTTGAGTATCTGGCCCCATATGCGGAAAGTTTCCGATTTCCGGGGAAGGCCCGACAAAACGCCCCGCCCCCCCCCCCCCCCCCCCCCCGGAACCAGGTTACAAATGCGATTTCGTCTAGCGTATAGTTATTCGAAATAAGTCATTTTGCAGTGCAACATGGTAATGAGAATCAATCTCCAGATACAAGAGCAACCGAATAAATGTACGAGTATGGTTAGTAATTTCGCTTTGTCATCTTGTTAGTTTTGATCGCGAACATCTCTCTATGCATATATCTCCGTCCTAGTACAAAAGTAGCAATTACGTGAAACCCGTTTAGAACGAACCCACGTACAGCGAATTATTGTCGATATCGAACTCACGGAAAATGTAGATAAAAATGCATGAAAAAAGTCATTTTTATAACGAACATTATATTGGCTATATCGAACTTTTTTCCCCCGGGAAGGTCTCCAAAAACGCGCAAACAATCGTCTTCTAGCCTGTCCTTTCCCCCAAAAACAGAAGTAGGAAAGAAAGAAAATTCCAAAAGCTCAAGTTGCGAACATAATTGAGCGAAGAGAAGCGATTCAAAAGGGCAAAGAGCTAAAAAAAAAACAAAAAAACACTCTGCACGCAGGAACAGAAAAAAAAAAACTTTTAATCCCAATACGGTTGTCCACGAAGAGAAGCGATTCAAAAGGAGGAATAAGCTAAAAAAAAAAAACTGCACGCATGCCCAAAAAAAAAAAAAAAAAATCTTTCCAGCGCGGAGTTACAAGGCGAAGCGAAGAGATGAGAAAGAAAGAAAAACTCTCGGCCTTACTACGAACGCATTGTGGAAGTTCGTTGTAAATTTTTTTGCGATATCGAATTACTTGCTATATCGAACTGATCGTAGCGTTTCCTGCTGTTCGTTATAAACGGGTTTGACTTACTATCGTTTTGTTTGTGATATTGCTAGAACAGTATTAGGATGCAGGCTCCCACCTTACTCCTTCGTGTCTCGAATGTCGAAGTTGAAGGGAACGAAGACAGTGAGTGTAATGAAAAGCAAGTACCATCGCCTCCGGCGGAGGCGATAGTACTTGCTTTTCCGAAGGGCTCGGGAGAGGGGGTTGAAGGGGGAGGGGAGGGGCTCTGCCCCCCTCCCTTTGGAAATTTTGGGGAGACGGGGGAGGGGCCTGAACCCCCCCCCCCCTCTCTCGCCGTAGTTGGCGCCTGGCCCATTCTCAGCAAATGAGGAGTTTAATTGTTGAGAAAACTTGATGCTCTGGCTAAGTATGTTCAAGGCCTGCTTCGGCTAGAACTGATGGTGTGAATGTTCTTTGCTTCTCCGCATTGTGGCAGAAACACTAGCTGTGCATAATCCGCACGGCGGCGCCGATCCTATCTGTGAAATGACATGTGTACACACGCCGCCTTATTTTATCCGATTAGGGGATTTGTTTTATTATGACTAGAAAGAAAAAAAAAGAGGTTTAAGTTTCTTTTATATCAGCTTTTACAAAAATGAGCTCCCTATATTTTTAGTTTTCAGAGCTCATGTGTACTTTCATAGCTTTAATAGATGCGTAGAATTTTATTGTCGCATGGATATCAAGAGCCTCTCTATTCTGTTGCATTAGACTCATCGCATTGCACAAGGCTCCAGCATACCATGAATCAACTGATGAACCCTCGCCCAGCTATGACCGCACGTTTCCGCTTATTCTCCTTTTCCGGGTAGTAGTCGCCGTCTTGAATCGTAGATTTTGCGGTATGAGGGTAAACATTCTCTTTTCCGCGCCAGGCAACTGGAGGGTGTTTACGTTTTTCGACGACCTTCAATGCTGCTTGTTTTCCTCTTTTATATTTATTTACTTGTTTAAAGTTGTAATGTCTCTTCTTTTTTTTCCATCCCCCCCCCCCACCCCAAATACCGTATATGTGAACAGTGTGACTGAGGACGAGGGAAAACGGAGGTCTATAAAATTTCAGCACATTGAGACAAATATTCCATGGCTTCAGGGTGTGTGTGTGTTTTTGTGTGTGTGTGGGGGGGGGGGGTACTACGTCGAATCTAACGCAAACGTCATACATCTGTTCAGCTAATCACCTATCTGAGCCGCACCCCTGCTTGTTTTGACGAGGTACGGCATCGAACAGGCGTGCTGCTGTGTAACATCTACAGCTTTGAGCACGTTACAGACAACGCGTTAACACTCTCAGGCCGCACTGGATATGTTACCCCTCCACTCTCGCTTTTTAAAAGTTCACAGAACCCAATTTGCTTTCCTTCATTGAATACCAGAGGGATCGACGCATAAAAACACGAAAGGCTCTTTACGAATTGCAATGCACTTCCGCTGACAAAGAACGTCTGAAAGGGGGAACTTTTAGTCAACGTCACAGTTCTGCGCCAGGGTGACAACCCGGCCACATAA